GCTTTTTTTTTTTTTTTTTTTTTTTTTTTTTAAATACGCAAGCCACCCGAAAACAGGGAAATGTACAAGAAGAAAAAAAAGAAAGAAGAAAACGTTTACCAAATAAAAAGGTAGATAATAATCGCGTGAAAATTTATATATATTTCCCACTTCTGAATCAACAGAGCATAACCCCCCACCCCCTTTCACACACATACACATATATATATATATATATATACTGGAACATTCAAGAGCTCTCTCGTTTCTCAATAAAAGAAGAAGAAGAAGAAGAAGAAAAAAATAAAAGAAGCTTTCCTTATCCATATCTAACGTGCCACTCATGGATACTATCAAAAACACCACTTCAAAAAAACACCTCAAAACACCACTGTATATGCAACCATAACAATTACAAAAAGGATATATATCAACATGACCCACAGTTTCAGTCCAGTCCAGTCCAGTCCCCTCCTCATCATCATCATCGCAGCAACATGTAATTCAAATCGGGTAACGCGCCAAGGATATCCCTGATGATGCGGTCTTGTTCGTTTTTGCGGCGCTGCGCAGAGTTTGTGGCGCCCGTCAGAGGCTGGGTAGCTGGAGGCGTGATATTGCGCGGCGGGGACGAGCGGGCAAATGTCTTTGCCGAAGACGCAGAGCTGGTTGAACGCGGGGGGGTTTGGAAGACGGAAAATGGATCTGATGCGTCGTTTGGCTGCAAATGCACACTACGCGTTGTCGTGGTTGTCGGTGTCGTTGTCGTCGTTGTTGTTGTAGTAGTTGTTGGTGGTAGTGGTGCTGACTCGAAGAAGGAAAAGTCTGCATCCGCCCAGGCATCTACGACAGGCGCAGATTGTATAGTCGGAGCTCGAGGTGGCGTCTTGGGCGTGGCGGGTTCTGGTTCCAAAGTACTCGACTCGAACACGGAAAAGTCTTGGTCGACTGCGTGATTTACCACAGGCTCAGGCTCGTTAATCTCAACCTTGGAAGCCTGTTCTACATCGTTTACATCGCTTACGTCGCTTACGTCGCTTGCGTCGCTTACTGGGAGCACGCTGTCTTGCACGTCGTCTTGCACGTCAAAAGGGATGACGTCTGGCGATGGCTTGGGTGGCGCCTCGCTCTTGGGCTTCTCGGGCTTCTCGGGCGTAGAAGTGACACGTCGCTTAGCCGGCTTCAGAATTCCGGGGCCAATGGGGCCTTGTTCTACACCTAGTGGGACAAAGCTCTTCCGTCCAAATATAGCAGAAGTTGGCGAGATGGTACTCTTCAGGCGAACGATAGTAGCGGTGTGCATTGCGTCGGTTGAGGGATCTTGATCTGGTAGCGTCTCAGGGGCCGATGTCAGAGTCTGCGCAACGTCGTCACGCGGCGTTGGTACAGAGATGGGAAAGGCTGGGATAGGTGCAGGTACATCAGCACTCGATATCATGTCCCCCCAGTCGTCGTCATCGTCATCTGGTACATCTGCGCGTTGTTCTGGGACGACAGTGTTGGTGTCAAGAACGCTGAAGTCGTCCAGCGCGTCTGCTGACGTTGTCGTCGGAAGGGGAGGTGCAATTATTCTTGCGACAACCGGCGTTTCAAGGGAAGTCGTCGACGTTCGCCCTTGAGCTTCTCCAACACCACGTGTCAGATCGATCGAAACCGCACGGTGCTCCTGTTTTTGCTCATTGTCTGGTGTGATGGGCTTCGGTGCGGCAGGCGGGGGTACAGAGTACAGAGCCGGGCTGTCTTGTTTCCACGGGTCCAGCGTTGAGACTGGAGAGCTCCAATTGAACGCAGCTGCTGTATTTGTAGCCACAGACGGAAGGCTCTGTCGCATTGGAGCGGCTATGCGCTGAGTCGGGATTGACGTCTTGGTACGCTGGTGACCCTTGACTGTCCTGGGTTCTACTGGTGCTGGGGTGTCCCAGTAGAACGAAGCCCTGGCACCGGCACCTGTACCTGAAAGACGGTCTTCACGCGCCCATCTTGCTATCGTTTTGTGAACCCCAGCCCTGACTTGGGAGCCTACCCATGTAACTCGGATGTAGTTGTCGTCGCCATTTCCACTATTGAACTCTCTCATAGTCTGTTTGCGTGTGAGCCTGTACCAGGCTTTGCGCCCCGAGGTTGAATATACTGGATCCTCGGGGGCATCACCCAGGTCCGTGTCGACTTTTTGTGGTGGAAAAAGTTCATCGAACAGAGCTGGATCAACCTGGTACCCATAGCTAGGAGAGGCGGTGGTGGGCGGAGATTCTGTCGTCGGCCCAGTCAACACTGCAGCATGCTCGTGCGTGTCTTCCTTCACGTCTCCAGTAATTTCTTCAACAGCATCGCTCTGGCTTTGGGCGCCTTCTGTCAAGATTGTGTCCGCTGTGGAAGTCCCAAACTCATTCTCAGTGCCGTCGCTCTCCGAGCTTGAGCTGCCAACTTCCTCTTCGCTTTTTTCCTTGTGAACAGTTTCAGGCTCTTCCTCGTTCTGCCTAGTGTCCTTTTCAACGCTTCGCTCCTCTTCGAGAGACGTGCGAGAGGATTCGACTGGCGCTTCGTGGCGGCTAGTCTCGGATTGGGATGTCGATGGTCGCGCAGAGGCGCTGTCTTCGGGCTGCGATCGAGCCGGAGTGTCTCTTGTGTCTCGTTCTGGTTTGGTGTCTGCCTGGATTGTGGTTGGTGTTTCTGACGTGTCCGAAATGCCGTTGTTCGGGCTTGGAGCATGTCCACTTTGCTCTGCCCATGTGGCTTCGCTGTCCTCGATAGCGCTCTCTTTCCTCTCCTCCACATGCCAGCGTGGGGCGTCGTCAACAACCTGTCCGTCTCGCACAGGACTGGGATGAGACGTGTGCGGCTCTACATGGGGCGCGGCAGAAGCATCGATTGCAGGGGGCGTAGTCCAGTCGCCAAAACTTTCTTCTTCGTTTCCCCATCCTGCATCGTCGAGACAAGCATTTACGAGCACGGGGGCAGACGCATGTGGAGGCTGCTGAGGTGAGGGAATCGCGAACTTGATGGGCGATTTTTGGTGGTCGGCATGATTATCTGCCCAAGGGTCGCCCCAGTGATCCATGGTCGGGCTAACGCGTCAAGCGTCATAGTGAATTGCTTCTGCTAGAGGAGCATCACTTGACTTTGCCGTGCTGAGGTGTGTGGCGTCGAGAGGATTGCAGCAAAGGGTCAAAGACCAGCTGCCCCAAGAGGTACAGGGTGTTGCCAAGCCGGGGACCGGACAGTCTGTAGCCGACCTTGAACGTCTGTCCACGTTTCGTCACGCGTAGAACACGAGGCATTTGCCAGTCACATGATGCGTATCACAAGCGCGTTTGTGGCCCAATGTATTCATTTCTTTTGCTAGCTATATCGAGACGTCGTATGGTGTAGACTTTGCTTCCGTGCGGGAAGAGAGTAGAGACACGATTTCGTTCTACTCCCTTGAAGCCAATGAAGCTTTTCCCCTCTCCACGCTAAGCCCGTGGAATTTTCTCTTTCCTCTTTCCGAAGCGCCCAGCCCAAGGCAGGGGGGAGAGTCGGTTTTCCTCGAAGCCGACAGTAGTAGAAAAAGTGCACGTTGACTGTCAAACCCCACCAAATTGCCTGCCGGGTAAGCAACCTCGGCCAGAATCTTGCATCCGGCCCCGGCAACAGGCCCCTGCGCGACCGACAAAGATCCCCGTACATCATTTTAACCGTGTCCTGGCTTAGTTTGTGATTACTTCAGACACTCTGCGAAGATGGGATAGACTGAGACTAAAGCAACTCGATGGCGAACATGTGCCTAATGCAGGTGTCGAGTAGTCAGGACCGAGAAGAAACGCTATGCAAGAAATGCCGCAATGCCCGAAATTCGAGACGCAAGTAGCTTGGGACCGATCCAGAAACGCCAGAAAACCATGCAACTGTAGAAAAGCAAAACGCTCTAGGATTGCTGCTCTGGAATCAGCTGCATTTCACATGAGGCAATGAAAAGTAAACTTGAGACATGTTATCGCACAGACTCAATGACGGAGACGTCGTCGACTGCATCCTCGTCCGCGTCGTCGTGAATGACCTTTTTGAGGCCGTTGTCGATTTGGACGGCTCCGATTTCCTCCTTGGGTACCCAGATCAACTGGATCACTCCGATAATGGCCATGGCAGCAAGACCGAACCAGGCCGCAGCAGACCCTCCCAGCGAGTAGATGAGCCCCACCATCGGGGACGAAATGGTTCTGGCCAGACAGCATGCGGACATGGCGATGCCGTTGACGCGGCCAAGGACAAGAGGCGACGGAATGGCGTTCTTCATGAGAATCAAAGCACAGGGGAAAACAATGATGCCAAAGAAGGCTTGCAGGAAGAGAACAAAGTAGATGCCGGGAGTCTCGAACATGGGCGGAAAGGCGCTGATGCATGGCACAATGAGGTAGGTAATCGGGTACAGGATAATCATCCAGATGAACGAGTTCCAGACGCCAGCCCACTCGACAAAGATGGGGAAGATGAAGCCCTGGACAAAAAGTGTAATGAAGCCATTGACGGTAAGGAAGGTTCCTACGTCGGGCAGGTCCATGCCCAGGCCACCCTGGAGGTCCAGGCCTTTGGAGACGGCTGGGTCGAGGACATAGACGGGAAGAATCGAAATAAAGGCCATTTGGTGGAAAGCGAAAATGGCCATTGCGAGAATCACCATGACAACGGTTCTGTTGAATGTCTTGCGGGGCTTCGGGGGCGGGCCGCCACGCACGGGGAGCACGTCCTGTTGAATCTTGATTGAATGCATGGTTCCGAAAGACGAGCGGCGGATGTCGAAGCGCTGGTCGAAGGGCATGGGCATACCCTCTTCCAGGAACGAGGCGCGCTTGCGAATGTGGCGGATGCTGCCCGAGACGGATATCGAAGCCAGGCGGTCGCGGGTAAAGCTGGCAATGGAGGCGCGGTGGCGCGTGGATCCGGCAGTGGAGCCGCGATGCTGGTGCTGGTGGTTTGGGGGCGGGGGCAGGAGGCGGCTGCGCTCGTTGACAGGCGTCTCGTTGATGGTGTCCAAGTGGTCGTGGTGGTCGGCAAAGCCATTCTCGGCCTCGGGCTTTTGGTCGCGCACCAGCGTCTCTTCCAAAAACAGCATGCCCTGGAGGATGGCCAGCACGATGCCGATGGCGGCGACGAGATTGGGCAGGAGATAGGGATAGCGTGCGAAGAGGCCGTTCTTGTCAAAGGCGTGCGGGTACAGGCGTGCGGGCTGGGCCAAAAAACCACCCATGGCGGAGCCGATGATGCCGCCCAGGGTCCAGACGAAGGGCTGCGTCGCGTATGCACGGGCTGTTCTGGGGTTAGCGGGCGCTGTGTGCCAGATGCAGTGTGTGTGCGTCATTGCTTACGCTCGTGGGCTGGATTCTTGACCATTTCAGCCACCATGGTCTGCATGATTGCGACGTTGCCGTTCAAGGCGCCGCCGACGAAGCGCGCAAGCAGGGCGACCCAGTAGGTTGGGGCGATGCCAAAGACCAGGCTCGAGAGGGCGACGCCCAGCAAGCCAATGAGGGCGACGGGCTTGCGGCCATAGACATCAGACACCATGCCCCACAAGGGGGCCGTCATGGCCTCTGCAATGGCGTAGGCCGAGACGAGCAGGCCGGCGTAGAAGGAGGCGTCGCGGTGCGAGATGCCCAGGTCCTCGACCATGACGGGCGAGTAGGCCAGGATGGAGTTGAAGGCGAGAGGCTCGGAGAATCGGCATATTCCTGTGTAGCCATGGCAATAGCAGTCAGCGAGGGAGGCCTGGGGCATGACGGGGACATGACGGGGACATGACGGGGCTGGCGAGGCGACGCACCGATGATGATGAGCTGCTTCATGGGAAAAGGCGCATCCTTGGGGTCGGGAGGCATGATGGCGGCGGCGGGGATGGCTGTGGTCAGGAGAGGAGGGCGGGACGAGAGAGGGACGAGAGAGAAGGAGAAGAAGAGAGAGGCATGGTGTGGGAGCGATGGGAATGCCGGTTTTACGGGCAGCAGGCAGGGCAACGAGAGCGTGGAGCTTATCACGGCGCGCTAGGTGGGAGCAGGCAAGCAAGCAAGCACGCACGCACGGCCCACGCCCGCCCTCATCCCAGCACCAGCAGCGGCTAGTGTTTCCCGCATTGCACACGACGGCGGCGAATGCGGGCGAGGGCGAGGGCGAGGGCGAGGGCGAGAGAGCGTCGCCGTCGCCCAGGGCCCCGCCCGTTTGTGGGTGTGGGCGGGTGCAGTGCAGGCTACAGTGCAGTGCGGCGCATGGCCTATTGGCATTGCTATGATTGCAATGCCAGTTCCGCTGCGGGCGGGCGGGCGGGCATGCACGCGTCATGAGGCTTTTTGGCCGCCAAGGCTCGACGGCAGACGGCGCCCAAGGCAAGGCAAGGCAAGGCAAGGCAGAGGCTGGCCTTCACCGTATTTCCTACAGATTGTTGAGAGTAACATGGCTCCTTCTTATCACCCCCCTCCCTCCCTCCCTCCCTCCTCCTCGCACGCTACCCGGTGGCGTCACCAAGCAGCATCACGCGACCTTGGTCTCCCCTCGCCTCGCCGCCCGTCCCCAGGCTGCGTGTGCGTGTGCGACGCTGCCCTCGCCGCCCTCGTCGCCCTTGGATGCCCGCTGCACCACATGGCCGCACCAATCGCCGTCGCCATAGAGCGTGCATGGCCCCCCCCCCAGCCAATTGCGTCACACACACCACCGACTACCCCGCCACTCCATCGCTCACACACACACTCACACCTGTGCTTGCAGCCTGCAAATTGCCTCAACCACCAGTGACAGTCTGGCCGCGCGCTAGCTGTCCTCCCGCCGTCGTGTCAGTGTGTCGCCCCGATCATCGCTCTTTGTTCACATGTCGGCATGTCACCAGTGCCAGCAAGTTAGCCACGGACTAGTCGAGCATGCTAGCTCCGATACGCACGTGATATCGCGTCGAGTCCAAGCGCCGTGCCGCACAGACGTCGACGCTTCCACTTCCACTTCTGCTTCAACCATGGCCCGTGACCTTGCTGTCTCTTTTTCCCGCCCGTCTTGGTCTCCAACCTCACTTGCTTGGGCCCCCCCGAATGACGCTCAACCGCTCGCCTATCTCGTCTCCGCTCGCAGCGTGCCCCAAGTCCAGTGTTCTGGTTCAATGCAGTATTGACACCCCGGCCCATGCACATACATATGCACACTGCCGCCTCCCATTGCAACACTCACACTCACTCAATCCCATGCCGTGTCCTGCGTCACTTCCCGCGCCGCTCCCTACCCTTCACGGCGCGGACCTGAACGCGCGCTGACTGTACCTTGCTTTGGCCCCCCTCACCACACGCTAACATGTATTTCCTCACGCAACATCAACCCACGTTATTTTTTTTTCTCCTTCTCTTCTTCTCCGCCCCCAAGCACGCGTTGAGCAACCTTGTCCGTGACCCCATGTTTGTATCCGCCCCCACAACCCTCCCCCCCTGCAAACGCACTAGTGCTGAAACGGCACTAGCTGGTCCTCGCTTGCGCCCGCGCCCCATGGCGGCAGCGGTGGTAGTAGCGCGCCCACACCCACTTTTTTTTTCTTTTGCTTGGGGCTTGGCCCACATGAGAGCGTTGCACTCACACTCAGTCTCACTCTTACTCTCCCATTCACACACTCAAAAGTAATTCCAACATCAAAGCCCAAAAGCAGGGCCACGTTCTGAACCACATGAGGTTTAGCACCTGTTCAGTCTCTTCCGAGGGAGTCGATGGCCCCTGTGCATATGTATACATGTCCATCACACTCACACTCACAATGCCAAAGCCTATTTGTGGCGCCCCCCACACTTTGTTTCCAACCGCCCCTGTTGCCTGTTGCCTGTGCCTGCACCAGCACCAGCACCAGCCTCGCTCTTTTTTTGTTTATATGTATGACGCCCACATTATCTCCGCACCGACTCTACCACAATAACTAACACGTACTAGTCTGTCGATGCTTTTTTTTTGGTTTTTTTTTTCTTTCCCGAATACTACCTTCGACTTGATGCCGTTTCTAAAACCATACTTTTTGATCTATACATACCGCTTACTCTTTGCGCCCGTCTGGGCCTTGGCCATTCTAGGCTATGCTTGCGACGAAGCAAGGATACTACTTACTACTGACTACGCTTCGACGATGTAGGATGTAGCAATGGCATAAGAGAGAGAGAGAGAGGCTTGCAGGTAAATATCCATGTATTGCCATCTATTCTACCCTACTCTGTTCATATACATATACATGCACTCAACTCACCTCACCTCAACTCACCTTCATCTCCACACCAAACAAAGCCAGCCATAACCTCTGCATACACACACATATATATATGCTCAACTCACCTCAATTCATCGTCCCATCCGACCGCGCCCCCGTAACCCCAACCGTAAAATCCTCCCGGATCCGCTCCAACGCACTCTGCTCCGCGTTATCCCCCACTTCGGCCTCCACTTCTCGCTCTCCATCGCTTTCTGCATGCTGCTCTGCTCCACTATCACTGCTGCCACTACCACTACCACTACCACTACCACCCACAATGCCGTTGGAAAGCTCACCAGTCTCTTCATCATTCTCCGAGTCGTCGTCGCTATCGTCGTCCACCTTGTTAGCCGTGCGCGGATCACGCCCAAGCTCCGGTTTGATCTTGCGCTCAAAGTCCTGTGCGTGTGCGTCGCGGAAAATGTCTCCCACGTGCGTAAAGGCGCGCTGTAGAGGCGAAGGCCGGAACGAATCCGACGTGCCGCGACGTTTGCGCGTCGACGTTGGCGGGGCAGGCTCGACGTCTGCGCCTGTGGCTGTGGCAGGGCGATTGAGAACACCTTGCGTCGGCGTCGGTGCCTGTTGCTCGTCGGGCTGCTCTTCGTCGATTGTCTGGGGTCCGCGCGGAATGCCAGACGAGTGGTCTTCGTCTTCCTGCGCCGAAACAGGAATATAATACGGCAGAGGCACGTCTCTGCTTGCCCGGAACCGTCCGACGTTGGTACAGTGCTCGTTCTCCACGCGGAACACCGACCACATGCCTCTGCGCAGAATCTCGCTAAGTGATACGCAAAACGACGTCACTGCCGAGTGCTGCACTTGGAGCGGGATGATCGTATACAAGACCCAGTTGTTTCGCAGAATCGGATCAATGCACATGGCCGCATAGTACCACCAAACCCTCTTGTACCCCAGCTCTTTGCGCAGAAAAGGATGCTTGGCACGCGGGTCGCCCAGACTCCAGTCGTAGTAAATGTCCCAGAAGCTCGTGTAGATGCCGTTGATGATACCAAACGTCACGTACGCTGCCTTGGTGGAGGTCCGTCTATCCAAGCGGTAGATGCTCAGTGTTACGTTGAAGAGGATCGTCGCAGTGTACTTTCCCCCGTTGAGCAAGTGGGGAAATTTGTTGCCCGTATCCCGGTAACGGCGAAGACACTGAAGTAGGCGCCACACACCGGGCAACGCCGAAAGGAACCCGGTGATGCGTAGGTGAGATGTGTTGCATTGCGATGGGTCGTTCCAGTCGTGCGCATACAGACAGAAGAACAAAGCGATGCCCTATGCAAGTCAGCACGAGAAGACAAGTCGGCGTTGTAAACTAACACTCATGCTGTATGTCAAGGAGCAGAACATGTCGCCCATGTAAAAGTCTCGCCATTCAACAGGATACACTCCAGCAAGCATCAAGCGCCACTGGCAACCCGTTAGCAGAAGCACAAGAGCACAGCGTGCAATGCTTACCAGTGAGTACAACAGCCACATTCGAGTGCGGAAGTAAAATACTCGGAAGGGATTGAAAAACATAGCGACAGATATGCCTATGAGGATGACGGGGTAGTACAGGTACATGCGCTCTCCGCCGACTTGATGAAAGTTGATTTGCATGAACAGGCCAAGCATGAACAAATACCAACAGGGAATCTGGCACGGTTAGTCTCGTGAAAACTAAGCATACATCGTGTCCCCACCTCTGCAAGTTGCCTCCAGTCAAGATGGTGGCGGGTATCATATTCGAAAATAAAAACGTAGTTGATCTTGTTGTCGTGCCAGACGCGGCAGGCCAGACAGAAAAGAAGGGTGAGGAAGTTGATGAGGAAGTATCCGGCGTAGATCTAGATATGTCAGCAAGGTTGGCGGCAAAACATGGGCTCGACATGCCTGCAGGAGATAGCTTGTATTCAGCGCAAAAGTGCTGTCATCCGTATCATGCAAGTCGGCTATGGTGTTTGCCTGGATGAGGCCTTCAATGCCGAGTATGACACCTGCGGATAGGAGAAGGCCGTTGCGGAACGTATTGTCCGTGTAATCGCCGGCGCGTGCAGTCTTGACGCGCAGCTTTCCGACGGCGACCTTGTGGTTACCCTTTTCAAAGTAGCGTGCGTAAAGGTCTTCGGTGGTTTGAATGTGTCTCTCGATCACGTCGCTGTTGACAAACCAGGCTTGGTTGACCTGGTCGTTCATGTAGCGCATGGCGGGCCGCGCATTGACAGTCTTGTCGTACTTTTTGTTGATTTTGCGGAAAGCCGTGCGATTGAGCAGGGCGTACGACTTGAGCAGCTCGAGGCCGCGATAGTACTCCTGAAGCGCCACCTTCAGCTTCCGCTTGGCAGTCTGGTATGGCACGTCGGGCAAGTCAGGGCGTCGGGCAAAGTCGCGGCGACTGTCGGGGTGGTCCCTCGGTTTCAGAGCGGCGGGTGTTGTGAGCTCTGCAATGTTCTTGGTGCTCTTGCCATATTTTCCAGCATTGATGGCATCGAATGCGGCATCGATGGGATTCATCAGGGTGTCCTTGAGCGTTCCTCGAGTGACGCGGCTCTGGCGGGCCTCGTCGCCTTCGTCACCATCCACAGCGGTATGGCTGTGGTCAAACCCCTGCTTCTTGTGGGCCTTGGCGTTCATCTTGTCCGTCTGCCGTTTGATAACGTCGTCGATGCGGCGGTCTCTCATGATGTGGAGCTGGTCGCGCAGGACGGCCAGGCGAGTCGTGGCTTCATCCTCCTTTTGCTTGTAAAAGGTTTCGATCTTGTCCAGCTCGCTGTCGAGGAAATTGAAAAACTCTTCCTGGCGGAAATCGAGATGGCGATATGCCTCGAGCGGGACGTCGCCTGGGCTCGGTGGGGGTGTCTTGTGGCCGAGTGAAAACAGGCGGCGTGCAGACGGGCGTGGTTTGGATCCAGCGGCGGAGCCCGGCGCTATGCTGACACGCGTGGGGGAGAAGACGCTCTTGTAGTAGGGGGACTGTCTGGCGGGCGATCGTGTCTTGCCCACCTCGAAGGCATTGTCCGTCTCTGGCGCTGTAGCGGGGGGCAGCGTCACCGTCTTGGTCCTCGCGAGCGGGTCGCTGGATGAGCCAATGTGGGGGGATATGCTGTCCGGGTCGAGGGCCGCGCCGGGCAGCTTGAGCGAGGGGGGAGCCTGTGACCGTGTGGCGGGCGCCTTTTGCGTGGCACTGGGCGGGCTTGCTGGCGCGATGCTGCCATAGCTGCTGCCCAGGTTGAGCGGGTCCAGCGGCTCCAAGGGCTCCTCCTCGGGCGTGCGTCCGAGCTGGCCGGCGGCGGCGTGTCGCTGGCGCAGGGTCGTCTGGCTGCGGCTGTTGGTGATGGCGAGGGCACGCAGGTCGGGCGGCGGGCGGGCGCTGGCCGCGTCGTCTTGGCGCGAGCGCTGGCGGTTGAGGTATGTGCGGAGCGAGGCATCGGCGGGCGAGGGCAGGGCAGCGGTGCCACGTCTGCGCAGTCGCGGGGTCGAGTCGAGGGCGCGGAGGGCGCGGTCAATGGCCTTGATCTTCTTTTTGCCCAGCTGCACGCATCGTCAGTCGTCAGTCGTCAGTCGCCCGTCGCCCGTCCATGACGCATGCTGCTAAACCACGGGCTAACGGGCCCGTCGGCGCACCTTGTAGTCTAGGTATTTGAGCCTCCACTCGGGCACGAGGTCGCGCTCCAGTTCCCTGTCGTCGGTCAGCAGCCGTGGCCAGCCATGCGCCCATGCCCGTCGCTCACTTTGCAAATTTCATGGTGCCTCTGCGGGCGCGTCGAGGCAAGACACGGCGAGGGAGCAGCACAGCGCGCCTCGTCCGTATGTGCTGCAGCGACGCCTCTCAGCACCAGGCGCAATTGGGGGTAGCGTCTTGTGCTGCGACCGACGGCGGCCATGCCCAGAAGTGGTGGCATTCCCTGGCACGCTGGCGCCCACGTCATAACCCGCCGCCCCGCCGCCCCTGCGCCATACATGTGCATGTACATATACTGCGCTTTACTTGGGCCCCATCGAGCTGCGGCTGAGGCAATTAAACTGTCTCGTCATTGGCACCATACGCATGCCAGTCCTTCACGGCCAGGCAGCAAAAAAGAAAGCCCCCAAGCAAAAACATATCAATGCCAAGCAAAACACGGCTGGGTAAAACAAAACACCGTTGCGCGGGAGCGGGCGCATCACATGCAAGCGGCTGCTAGTGAGAGACATACTCCAATTAGACATTCCACCCCTACCACCTGTGTAGCACCGCCACTTGTTAGCATGCCGACTGAAACTCTTTTTAACTTCCAAGCTAACACGATGCCACGATTCCAAATCACTAGAAAAGTATAATCAATCCTGCTTGAATCCGACTTGAAGCTTGAATACGAATCATATCAGTTCCAAGGCCGAAGCATAGTAGTATACAACCAACTTAATCCAGCCTCAGAACCTTGCGACCAAGCCTAGTCCACCCTGGCTCAAACTCTGTCTGTGTATTCACCCTGCAATTCAACACCCGAGCAGTGCGCGAATTGACCCCGAATAGCCCATCACGTGACCAGTAATCAATTTGTACATACGAGACTTGTCGCCAATAGCAGATGCTAGTAAGAAACAGAGAAGAATTCAATCGCATTGCGTGTGAAATGATATTATCCAGTCTAGCCGTAGTTTAGATTCGCGTCACGTGTATCGTCGCGGCATCGAGATGGCGGCACGGCAAGCTTCAAAAGCGCCGTATTACTTACGCAGATACGAAAGCTTACCATCAAAAAGACATGATAGAGTGCGGGGAAGGGGGGGGGTGGTATCAACTCAGCTGTCTCTGTACCTTGACTGGATTCTGTGTTTTTTTTTCTCTCCTTCAAGTTGGGTTTTCCGAAGTATTATTATTATTCTAGTTTAACGTCCTTTTTCAGCCCGAAGGGCTATATAAGACGTGGTTTTCCGAAGTAAATTGTGCATAAAAATGGGTGCATCAAGTACGATTCCAAGTCATCATTAAGCACCCCACTTGGATACATATTACCAGCAACAATTGAGGCTGGGAAAAATATAAATAAAAACATTGGTTTTGGTCTTACACTCCCCCCGCAATGAAGCCATCACTACTTTTCGCACTGAGCCCCCTGCTCAGCGCCGTCTCTGCAGGCTGGTGTTGTGACTACAACTACCGAGGTACATGCTGGCATGGAACCGCTCTGTTGTGTGTAAGTAGCACAAAACTTGCTTGATTTCGCGCTTCTTCTCTTACGGCTGTCCTAGGCTGTCCTAGGCCGCATAGGTGGTATACTATTTTTTACATATACCTAGACATACTCATGCAGATACTCATTCTCCCAGTGCCGCGACATCGAGGCGAATAAAAAAGATTGCTACGGTGGATGGGGCAACTTTTGGAAAGGCGGCTATCGGGATGAAAACAACCTCGTCGCTTGTAACGCCAAAGGGGAACCAGACACTGGCCATGTCACTTGTGTTGGTTAAGACTGCAGGTGCAGACACACGCATGCTGTTTTCTATTACGCTTGATATCATGTACAATCAGAGTTTCTTATATTTCATGCACAATCAGAGTTTATCATCAGTGCTCCCATAAGATAAGCTTACTTTTAGTCTTACTCGTTTTGCATGTAGGATATAATTTTAGTAAGGATGTTAGGACCCTCTACAGCTAAATCGTTTGTTAGTATCATACAGCGTTAGAATTTATCACTACAAGCTTCAATCCATATACAACATAGATGTAATTACATAGTGCTGCTTAGCTAGCTACTAGTCCGATCAGAGGCGGCTATGCTCGGCCTACCATCCACGCTGCTCGAACCGTGCTGGGCGGCCGTACTGGTTGGGGTCGAACTGGTCCGCTCCGTGGTTGTCAATGTAGTGCTCATCGTACATTTGTTCGGCCTGCTTCTTCGCCTCGTGCTTCGCCTTCTCGCGGTCGAACCAGTCCTCGCCCTTTGTCTCGGCAAGCTTGTCGATCTGGTACTAGTGTTAGCCCATGCACGTACTACCGTACTTGTCGTCACTGCATACCTCAGCACCGGCGAATCCGGCGAGCACCTCCTTGGCGAATGCGTGAGATACTGGCTTGCCTAGACATAACCGTTAGCCCATGTGGCAGAAGCAAGCACCCAGTCATGACCCACCCTCCTTGCGCTGGTGGTCCTCAAACGCCTTGAAGCCAGCAAAGGCGGCGCCTCCGGCTATCAGCTCATGGCCAAAGCTGGACTTGTGGTTCTCAAAGTTGTCGTTCTCGTACACCTTCTGGTAGTTGTCCTCGTTCTTGTCTAGTCGCTCATGTCAGTACGCAATTGCACTGAGCGCCGGAAGGTGAGGAATGAAGGTAGCGTACCCCAGAAACCCATTGTGGCTGATTGTGTGAAGAATTGGTATTTGAAAGGTTGGATAGGGCAAGTGTCGAGTAGGAGGAGAGAGTGTGTTGGTGGATAGCCACTTGCAAGCCCCGCGCCCGACCTTATATAGCCGTCTTCAAGTGCAATATGCACCTCGCTCTTCGCGCCGCGTAAGCGCCAATCAGTACCAGAGCCTTTGCTGAGACAATTCCAAACCTACCATAAGGGCCGATGATGCCCCTCATCCAAGCATCTCTCAGCTAGACAGGGTCTCGTCGTGGCTCAGAGGGCGAGCACCTGCAGTGTCCTGGACCCATCTTGAGCTCATTCTAACGCCACATTATGCGCCCAGCTGCCAGTCGCGGAGTCCTATTCGACCACATGTCGTGTCAGTGTGTCTGATACCATGGTATCTGTCCAGACGGGGTATAGGCGCGTGCGTAATGTGGCCAACAGCGGGTTTCGGGGCTGCGGGGTCAACAGTCGAGCAAAACAAGCTTCCTTGGTAGTGCTTAGCCTGCGACAGCGGCCACTCCGGCCATGCCACCGAGGCATGGGAAGTGGGGGGTGTGGAATCCTGCTTGAAGAGCTCACCGGACGTGGCATCCTGGAGCAGTGCGCCTTTTTTTTTGTTGCGAAAAATGCTTATCAACAAAGAGCGAAAAGCGCCCACGGCGAGGGCGAGGGGAGAAAGCTTGGCTTCTCTCTGATGGGCGAAGATCTCGTGGCGCCTCGAGCCCCAATCGCCCCCTCCACCATGTGCTCAGCCACAACACCCACCCATCCTGCGACGACATGCCGAGCCGCCTCCCGACCAAAGCTGATTTCCCGTCGTCGGTGGTCCTGAGCATTACACCACGTACGCGAGCTCCACCAGCATCCGCTGAGCCTCCGTCGAGCGCCCGTCGAGCCTCCGCTAACCAGCCCAGCGCCTTCTTCGGACCCAACCAACGTCCTGATCCTTCTTCATGGCCTCGGTGATACGCACGAGCCGTTTACCGCGCTCGGCCAACAGCTGAACCTCCCGGAGACGGCGTGCATAGCGATACAAGCTCCCAATCCCCTGCCGTTCGAGCTGGGCGGCATGCACTGGGGCGAGGACCTGATCTTCGACTCGAGCACGGGCGGACTGGACATGGACACTGGCCTGCAGAAGGCGACGCATCTGGTGCTCGACGACATCATCCGCAAAGGGCTCATGGACAAGTGCGGCTACAAGGCGCGCGAGATTGTCGTGTTTGGACTTGCACAGGGCGGCATGGTTGGACTGCAGGTGGCGGCCGAGTTCGAGGGCGAAGAGCTCGGCGGCGTCATCAGCATTGGGGGGCCGCTCTCGCAGTCGGTGCCGCTCAAGGCGCTGCAGACAAAGAGCAAGACGCCAGTTCTCGTGTGCAAGGCCGAGCGCAAGTCTGCCGTGTCGGAGAGCGCCATTTCCAAGCTCAAAGACGCCTTTGAGCACGTCGAGGTGCAAGAGTGGAAGAAGAGCGGCGACGCCATGCCGCGCAGCCGTGAAGAGATGCTGCCGATTATGCACTTTTTTGCCCGTCGCCTACGGAGCACCAAGGGCGTGCCCGCGGGAAGCGTAGAGCTGAGCTCGTGATAGCAGACGGCATCGTGTGCAAGCGCGGGGTAGGTAACAGCAGACGGACTTCTGTGGGGGTCATCGAGTCAGGCCAGCACCAGCACTCGTGACATAGCCACACGCCTCACAGCCACAGCTTACTACCACTACTGTATTATTGCTGACTGATGCCGCCGCCTTTGTCCGTCACGCAAACAGCAAAAATTCATGGCGGTTGTTCCTTTCCAATCTGCGTTGTGCACGTGTTGTGGCCCGAGCGCGGGCCTACGTCATGTCCTAGTACTGTGTCCGTGTCCGTGCCAGTGCAGTGCCAGTGCCAGTGCCGGTGCGGTTTGCTCGCCTCATCACTTGCTCGCCATTGCCATACCCACACGACTCACCGCCACAAGACAGCAGCATGGCCGTGGCCGTGCCGAGAAGCTCACTGCGAGGCTTTCTCGCACACGCGAGAGGCGCCCTTTGCGAGGCCATGGACTCCAGTCAGAAGATTACGTTTGTCATTGGCAATGAGTCGGCGGGTGAGCATGACTCTGGCTCCTCGAATGGCACGCTCCGTACTCATGCAGCCCAGACCTTGATTCCATGTCGTGCTCCATCGTGTACGCATACATTCGGTCCATGTCGCCGCCCAAAAAGGCTTTCAGTTCAGTCTACGTGCCAATCACGAACCTGGCGGCTGCGGATATCCAGCTCAGACCCGAGTATCTTGCCGTATTCAAGCACGCTAACATGGAGAGCAAGCATCTGATTACGCTTGATGACCTTCCTGCGCTGTCGGAGATGCAGTCGAGGCTTGCACCGGAGAATACCAAATGGATTCTCGTGGACCACAACGCACTCCAGGGCCAGCTGGGCAGCATGTACGGCACTCGTGTCGAGGGCGTTATCGACCATCACGATGACGAGGGCAAGGTGCCAGCAGAGACAGGTGACGAGCCTCGCATCATTGACAAGTGCGGCAGCTGCACTAGCCTGGTAGTGAATTATTGCCGGTCAGCCTGGGACGCCCTCTCTGCATCGGCCATGTCGTCGGGCGCAGCGCACGCACAGGGTGACAGCTTGTCCGACGATGCGGCTTCTGTCCAACGATGGGATGCAGACGTCGCCCAGCTGGGACTGGCCAGCATCCTCATTGACACGGCCAATCTCGAGGACGCGAGCAAGACGACAGAGCATGACCGTGAGGCGGTTGCGTACCTGGAGGCTAAGATTATGCTTTGTCGGCAATTAGCAGGCAGCTTCGATCGCAGGGGCTTCTATGGCGAGATTAACGCGGCAAAGAAGGACATTGGTAGCCTGGCGCTGCAAGACATTCTGCGCAAGGACTACAAGCAGTGGGACCAGGGGCAGAAGCTGGGCGTCAGCTCCGTTGTCTTGCCGATTGAGTTTTTGCAGAAGAAAGCGGGCGATGGCAGCGATACGTCATTGGGCTCGGGGCTGCTGGCGGCGATCAAGGGGTTTGCAGAGGAGCGTGGGCTCGATCTGTTCTCGCTCATGACCACGTCGACGTCGGCAGAGGGGCAGTTGCGGCGAGAGCTGCTGCTTTGGGCGTTGAACAAAGAGGCGGTACCAGCAGCCCAAAGGTTTGCCAAGAATTCACGCGACGAGCTGGGGCTCGAGGCGTGGGCGGGCTACGAGGACGTGGACAATGGCAGCGAGTGGAGAAGAGTGTGGTGGCAAGGCAATGTACAGCACAGCCGGAAACGTGTCGCGCCTCTGCTCAGGGAAGCCATGGCATGACTAGATTGCGCAGACAGCAAGCTCTAGCGGAGGAGAGGCGGCTAGAGTAGCAGATTGAGTGGTGGTGGTGGTGGTGGTGGTTGAGCAGAGGGCTTGGCTCACGTGCAGATACGGGAGCAGGCGGAAATAAGAGGCGGCGCGTGGGAGGTTTGCAGAGTGTATGTATGAGTGTGTGTGTGTGTGTACTGTATGTACGTAGGGAGTGTGTGGGCATGGCAACGGGGTTGGGCACTTGTGGGCACTTGTGGGCATTTGTGGGTGTCGGGCTTGGGCTGAGGTTGGGTAGAGTAGGGGTTGGAGGTGGTAGTAGGGGGAATAGGCATAGGCGTGGCCAAGCAAGAGGCGGTCTGCCGCCAGCCGGCCAGGCAAATGGTCGTGGTTGGATTAGTGGGATTAGCGGGGTGTGGTTTCTGGCACGCGACTGCGACGGGCAGAGGGGCGGAGCATGCAAGAACAGCCAGAAGGAGGCTGGACGGGCAGACAATGAGTGCTCGCAGGCAAGGGCGGCGGCATGTCCAGATGCAACGGTGCAAAAAAAGGGCGTGGGCGGCGTTGGGATTGCGTAATATGGCCATGGGCAGGCCATGGTGGTGGTGCAGACGAGGCCAAAGAAGAAGAGGCAGGCCGGGCGGGTGATTGGGCGAGGGCCTTGGGCGAGGGCCTTGGGCGTGGTGCCGGTGCAGGCAGGCGGCGGTTTGACAAGAAGGGCTCGGGGCTAGCCATGCACTGCAAGATGAAGTGGGAAAACAACGGTTCACAGCATTGGCAGGGCGGCGCAATCAAATTTTGGCGTGCAGCACAGTTGCATGGGCCTTTTGACAGCATGCGCAGCGCTTGATGTGCTGGCAGCGCAGGGGCAGAGGCCGACTCCACTCGGGCTACGGGGGGCGACTAGAGGGGCGGGCGCTTGATTTGCTGGCGGGCGTCGGTGGGGAGCGAGGTGCAGCTGTGCGTGTAGGAGGTGTATGTCGGTGGATGGGTGGTGGGTGGGTGGTTGTGTGCGTGTGTATGAGCATGGTGGTGGTGGTGGTGGTGGTGGTTGTTTTGGCGGCGGCGGCGGCGGTGGACGCCAAGGCGAGTCCTCGTGTGGGCGGCCAGGCCTCGACGGCAGCCAGCAGCAGATGCGGATGCGCTGTCGACAGGTCGCTGGGTATTCTGGCGGCGGCGGCGGGCGGGCGGGCGGGGATGGCCTGGTATGGAACCGGTGGGTGAGCTGAGGCATTCGCAGGTGAGGTGCAGGGGCGATGTGCTGGTCCTGCAAGTCATCGCCTGGACGCTTCCACGCGCGGCGGGCGACTCTGGCGACTCTGGCGACTCTGGCGACTCTGGCGACTGGCCTTGCCCTTCCTCGCCAGCCTACTCGGCACACGGACTCGACCTTTGCCCTCACGCGCCCAATCACGCCGCGCCCGCCTTCGCTTCTGCTGCCCCCCCTTCTCCCCCCCCCCTCCGTCCCTCGCTCACCCCCCCCAAACAGTCAAGACGCGCCAGCGCACACGTCGAGCGAGGCCACTCGAGAGCAGCGCAAAGTCGCAGTCCACTCGCACTCGCGCCCAAACCACCTCGTCCCACCACCCCCCCCCCAAACCCCCCGTCCTCTCCCAATACCATCGCTACATCTGGCAATGTCGTAGACGATTCCCAACTCTCGCTGCCCCTTCTTCTCATGGCGCCATGATGCGACGAAGCCAACTCACGGCATCGCCCCCGGCGCAGGCCTCCTTCTCTCCGCGTAGGTGCTTCTTGCTTCTTGCTTCTTGCTTCTTGCTTCTGCCTCCCGTCGCCCCCCTCCCCCGGCCTCGCCGCCTTTCTGTCTCTCTCTCTACGTCTCTCTGTCTCTATCTCGCTCTCGCTCTCTCTCCCGCGCGCTCTCTCTCACTCTCACACTCACACACACACACACACTCTCTCTCTCTCTGCCGCTGCCTCGGCCTCGGCCTGCCTGTGTGCGTGCGCGTGTCTCGCCCAATAGCTGAGGCTCGCATCAATGCGCTCTGTACGATGAGCTGGCAACCCGGACCCCATCGCTGACCCTCTTCTTCGTAGCCGTGTCGCCCACCGTCACCCACCTCTCGTCCAGAAGCCACACGCCCTCGTACCATACTTCTCCCGCCGACGACCCGCCAGCTGAGGCTCCGCCCCGGTCCTCCAGCCCGCCCAGGTCGCCCTCTCCCCGCGCTCCCAAACACCAGACGTCGACCATGGGCACTCGGCCTGGCCCCTCGCACGACGCTGCCCATGGCCAGCGCCCCCAGATGCCCTCGGCCTCCATGTCTGCCCCCGCCGGCCGCCTGCCTCGCCTGCTCCCCGCCGACCTCTCGTCCTACACCGACTCATACCTGCCCACGGCCGCCATCCCCCCCTCGGCCACGTCGCTCGCTGAGCTCGCCCACCTGATCCGCCTCCAGGGCTACCAGGAACAGCGCAAGGCCCACTCGCGCGTCCGCCTGCACCGATGGCTCGTCTCCAGCGCCCTCTCCGCCCGTCTGGTACACTGCGGAGAGCTGGCCTACCGCACCCTCGTAGACAACTTCCGCTCCGACGACAAAAAGGCCTTTTCGTCGCTCTACAATGCCCTCAACGACGTCCGCAACTCGTGCGACGCCACGAGGCAGTATGCCCTGCTGGAGCCCGACCTGGAGTTTGGCAAGTCCAAGAGCATGAGGTCGGAGAAGCCCCTCTCCGCCTCGACTTTTCTTAGCGAGGTCCCGTCCAAGATTCTGGATGACCTTCTTGATTTCATTTCCGAGATTCGCACAAACCCCGAATTTCTTGCTACTCGCATTTCTAGTCTTTCGCAGCAGGAGCTGGCTGCCCTTACTTCTTTCCGCCAGGCCATGGACCCCATTGACTCCGTCATGGCTATGCAGGCCCGTGGCCGCAACGTCGGCTCCCAGCGCGCCCAGCAGCAGGGCGCCAATCCCATAGAGCGCCTTTTGTCCTTTCAACGCCACGATCCGCTGGCCGCCCTCATCTACACCATCTTTGCCAACTCATCTGGCCCAGACTCGGCCGAGGACCTCCGCCGCACCGACGTGTGGGCCACCGTTTGCGCCAAGCTCATCAAGGATACCAAAATCAGCCACAACTTTATTCGGACCATACTCGACGTCTGGGCAGGCATGCGCGAATGGCCTGGCAAGGCAAACTTGGAGCTCTACCTGATGCAGACCCTCCAGGACGGCCAGTTCCTGCTCGAAAAGGCCGAGGAGTCGGGCGTACGATCCGGAGCACAGCCAGTCCCGAGGAGCACCAAGGACACCATCGCGGCTGACGAGTTCTTTGACAAGGCCGTCAAGCGTCTTTTTGAGGTTGTCGACGATGAGCCCAGTGCTGGTGGCATACCAGAAGGCGTCCTGGAAATTGGAAACGCCATCCTCCGCAAGCTGAATGAGGAGAACGAGCGAGGTGCCCGCAAGGCATCGCAGAATTTCTTTGTTTCGCGCTGGCTGTTCTCTTCCTTCCTCTTGAACGCCATCATCCACCCTGAGGCATGTTTTTCCCTCTCTTGGCCTGGCCTCAATCGTTGCAGTGCTAACATTCCATAGACGCATGGAATCATGATCGGCCATCACATTAGCGAGCATGCGCGTCAAAAGATTCTCAAGGAGATTGCCATTCGAGCGCAAAAGCAGGTGCTTGACATGACATACAACTGGTACGACGTCTTGGCAAAATGGCCCAGCAACAACTTGCTAACACACCGTCTTCAGGAAACAGCAGATTCCCGTTCTTCCCGAGATTCGCACCCACATTGAGAACATTTTGGCCCGGTTCAAGCACACCAAGACTCCCTCCAAGCCCATTTTGCTTCCTGCCAAAGCTATTACTTCGCCCAGGGAGACTGTCGAAGTGCAGCCCTTCATTGTCCTCTCTCCCGCCGACATTGTCACCTTGGTCAACGCCCTCTTCCCAGAGCGTCGCCCCTCATCTAGCCACATGGACAACGACAGCCAGCGCCGTGCTGGCCTCGCGTCATCCGCGTCATCCATGTCTGGCATGTCTGTCCCCTTCCGCAACAATGGTGCTTCCATGACCGATGCAAGCTCTATTCTTAGTGCCAGTGCCTCATCCATGACGAGTGATCAGACTTCGCGCGAGCCACTTTTGGACAGCAACTCAACTTCGACAGAACAGCAGCCTGATGTCAAGCCGGCCCCAACAGAGCTTTACGGCAAGCGTCTGCGCATGTCATGCTCTGAAATGACTCGCATTCTTGGCGCTGATGCGACATCTGGCTCCTGCCATCCCTGTGCGGAGCGATGGGCTGTACTGTACATCTCGGCCGATGGCAAGCAGCTCAAACCGCGCATGCGCAAAGACTTTGATGACGAAGATGAACACGACGAAGACTCTCCAGACAGCGACAGCAGCGATGACGAGGGTACTGCTGACCGGTTCGACCTTGGCCACGACTACCACCAGCTGAAAGAGGCGATTGTGAAGCTGGTAGAAGACTACGAAATCCCCAAGGAACTAGCACCGGACAGCGAATCGAAGAATTTCAGCAACCGCATGACGACGCGCAGAAGTGCACGTGGTCGAGGTCCGGTTCGACATGCGAGTGACAGTCTCGGATCACGCAACCCATACAACTCAACCCAGAGTCACAGCCAGCTGACCAACATGATTGCAAGTCAGCGAAACGGCTCATCTCGTCGCTCTCCTCAGATCCCCAGGAGCCATAGCAACCCGCAAACTGGTGAGAAGCAGGAGAATTCCTCTGTGCTCGTTACAATGCTGGAGACAGCAATGTACCAATGCCAGGCACGATCGGATTTTGTCAATGCGCACATGTACTACAAGACGCTGCAGAGTCTACGGAGACTCAGCTCCCCTACGCTGGTCAAGAACGGATACGCTGCTCTTCTCAACTACTTCTCTCGTGGCCCAAGGGATCTGCTCAGCAAAGCAGCAAACGCCATTGAAGAGTTTGAGGCCTGGTTTGTGTGGCTCAAGCAGTCGCAGGAGAGGTCGGACGGCATGGTGAATGAGATGATGCTTTCGTTCAAGAACCTGCGAGACAAGATGTGGTACATCACCGATGTCCGCACGTCCAAGCCGTACGAGGATGCCAGGAATGTGGCACTTGCCCTCAAAATCATGGACCAGCAAGCAAAGACATTCAATTCCAAGGGCGCTTCTGGATCACGATCTCGCAACGCCAACAGCTTCTTGCGACAGAATGAAGCTCAACTGGTTGATCTCATGTCGGCCTCGCCAGACTTTGGCGGACCCAACAAGCTCTCGGACGAGCAGTCGGAGATTACCTTGAAGTGGCTCATGCAGTACGGCGTTGAGAACTTTTGCAAGGGTGAGGAGCGCATCCACCGCTTCTGCCTCGAGGTCGACAAATGTGTTACCAAGGTCATTGGCGAGGGCCTCCTGGACGGACCCGTGCTTTGGGCCAGTGAGCTGTACAAACGCGACCAACAGATTCTCGAGAGCGGACAACAGAAAGGCGACCTCTTTTTGACTGGCGTCGGCACCCTCTCCATTGCTGGTGACGAAGAGTACGAGACGCATGGCCGGCCCAGTAACCGCAACCCTGACTTTTCGCAACGCACAAGCCACGGCAGTCTACGGTCTGCCGCTAACCGCAACGTTTCATCAAGCTTTGAACAGAGCCCGTGGGGCAGAAACCCCATGGACTCGCCAGACTACTTTGGTGCATCGTCACCCGTCCTCTCCATCGACCCAATGGCTACCTTCTGGTCGCCATTCCAGACACAAGCGCAATCACCCACGAATGCAACGAGCATTCGTCCACGAACAGCCTCGTCTTCCAAGGGTACCGTCATGCTGAAGCAGTCGGCCACTGTCAACGAAGACAAGCGTCGCTTCATGCTCGACTTGAAGCAGACGCTCACGGGTCTCTTGCTGAGCGACCTTGGCACCATGGTGTTTGCCAATGGTAGCGAGACGGACTCGTGGTTCGGCGGCGACCTGCTCGACGACTGCATCGAGCGCCGAGACGAAGAGGAACGCAAGCGCAGAAACAAGCTGGCCAAGAAGAAGAGCTCGAAGAACATTCGAAAGCAGACTCCCGACCAACGCAGCCTGCCCCTCGAGGCGCTTGGCCGAACCGAGCGCAGCACAGCTGCTCCTCCCGTTGCAACCTTCCAGCATGTTGCAGCTTCGGATGCTCACCAATCAGCTGGCGAGCATTCGTCGGCCTCAAGTGATGCTACTTCGCGGTCAGGCGGTAACGCCACTGCCAAGAAAGCCGGGCTGTTGGAATTCCCCTACAATGTTGCATTCCAGCGCCTGCTCAACAGGTTCCAGACACACCCTAACCCCTTCTCCAAACTACATGCCCTGTATGAACTAGAGTTACTCATCATCGCTTCGCTGTCATCTCGGACCGGCCGCTTCTACAACAACAACAACAACAATAACAACAACAGCCGCCGAGACACACTCCCCCCTGTCCCCCAGTCGCCTACCCTAGGCGCCATGCCTGAACTCAGCTCGCGCGAGCCAGCAACGCAGACTTCGCGCGCACACAACCTCGAAGAGGCAATTGCCAACTGCGAAGAGCGTCGCTCTCAAAGCATGAATGTCGACCGCGTCAGCAACGAGTCGCCTTTGCCTCGCACTGGTGCTCGCTCTCCGGTCGGACCGCCAAGCACGGACATGATTGTAGAGGTCATCCAAGGTCTCCTGCGAGACTCCAACATTCGCCCCAAGACTCTGTTCCGAGACTTGCAATACATTGCTTCGTTTGTGCCTGCGCAGATGCTTGACAAGACTGCGCGCGGCAAAGCATTCTGGGACGTTGGTCTCGCTGCTCTCGGCCTGAAGCAAGATGTCTGCCGCATCATGGTCGAGCTCGTGGATGAAGTCATCACGCAGAACTCGAAGCGCGATGCAGGCAAGGCCAACCTGAGCGGCTCGTCTGAGAAGCAGTTGCTGCCTGCCCTGGGTGATGAGCCCCTTTCCAAGTACACCATGGAGGATGCAGGACGCATGCTTCTCATCACGGCCAAGGAAGGCGACTCGGTTGCCGAGCGTGAACTTGCCATTTTCTACCTCACCTCACCTGAGCTGATCCACCGCACCGTACTGCCGCTTACCAAGCCCAGTGAGGTGTTTAAGACTGAACTTCTCAACCGCGAGCGAAGGGCCTCGCAAGACCCTGCGCGCAGTGACCCCATGACCATGTGTGTGGCGCAACACTGGATGGAGCAATCCATGAAGGGTGGCGACCAGCTTGCCGCCAAGTACCTGCGCCAGCGTAGCGAGCTGGAGAACATCAACCCGACCAGGGCATAGTATGTCTTTTTCCCCCCGCATTTGGTGTTCGACTCTCTGCATTGATACCCGACCATGTCATCAGCCGTTACTTCGTATTTGTGTTGCGCACACATTGTTATGATGGCCCCTCAGAGGACGAAAGGCCCCACCACCATTCTGCATAGCGAGGAGTTTTTTTTTCTCTCTATACCGTTGTTTCTTGTCCTCTTTATTGTTTCTTCTTCATCTTCTTTCCTCTATTTATTATTCTATGTCCAGCAAGCATGATTCCCCCTGATGCCTATCTATCTCGCGAGCCGTTATTGATGCCTTGCCCGTGGTTGAGTTGAAACCTTTTTTTCACCTACGTACCTTTTTTAACTCTTCTCTTCTCCAACAAACTCATACACCACTACTACTACTACTACTACTACTACTACTACTATTACTACCGGCGCAATGCAAAGCGAGAAATTCTCAGGTACACAGACACTCACAGATATATATACGAATGATGCTTGTAGGTTTTTTTTCTTCTTCTCTTCATGTTTCTTATACCGCGCGGAACAAGGGCGAGTTATATAACTCAATGAAGGTACCGACTGAGTGTTGTGCTTAAGTGGCTCCAACTGGCTGTCCTATTTTTTCTTTTTCTCTTTTTTTCTTTTTCTTGTGCGGGACCACTCTCACTTACTCACTTACTCAATTCACTCAACCACTCAAATCACACGAACTGAACGCGGAATGGCAACGAAACGCAACGAAACGAAACGAATTACTTTTATGATTATGAAAGCACGAAATATGAAAATGACATCATGTATCCGTTTGCTTGCTTGTTAACGGTCTATGGTGTCTGCTTGCATGCACACACACATATATATACATATACAGACCATGGGGGGGAGGGAGGGCGGATGGAGATACATAGACGATTGCTGGTGTGCTCAATGGATTGAATATCAGGTTATATATATATATATATATATGTATGTATGATCCTTCCACTTGACTGGGAGGCGGTGTCTCATGGGCCGAGGTGGCGAGGGGAAGGGAAGATGGCATAGATGTTACAAAGGTATGCTTGTGGTGAGGTGGACATGGGAGATGGAGATGTTGTCTTTTGGGAGGGGGGGGGGATCTGGAGTCTTATAGATTTATGTGTGTACTTGGGGTAATATCATGTGATTGATTAAATGAATGAATGAATGAATGAATGTTGGTTATTTGAATTTGGTTATTTGATTGAGTGTGATGCATGGATGCATGCATGTGCGTATACAAGTGTCATGGCGATATGATGGTAGACTGTATTTTATTCCTTCTTCTTCTTCTTCTCCTCCTCCTCCTTCTCCTACTACTACAAGCGTCTCGTACGCTCTCCCTACTAATACGCAACTAAGCATTCTCTTTATTAACTCTAAATAACAAAATAAAATAAAAAATAAAAAACTAAAAAATTAAAAAAAATATAAAAGAATATTTTTTTTTAAGTTTAAAAAAATGTATAACGTCAAAGTATAGCGAGTGGCCGAGAATAGCGAGTGACCGAAAATGCCAAGCCCCCATCAACTTTCACTACTACTCGCGATGTCTTAACAAATTCATTCAAAAAAGTCTTTAAAAGAGTCTTAAGTACAGCTTGCAATTTAGGCTATTAAATGCGACGCGACAATTAACATTCCACGCGCTGCAGCTTTCTACAACGTGCCTGAACGTACCCTAAGACGAAGACTCGCAAGAAAGCCTTCTCGACAAGATTGTTCGCCCAACTCAATGAAGCTACTTATAACAGAAGAGGAGGTGATTGTTAAGAATATTCTTGATCTTGATGCAAGAGGATTTCCGCTGCGCCTTTCTGCTGTCAAAGATCTAGCTAATTCTTTGCTAGCTGCCCGCCACCGCGACCCTGTTGGCCCTAACTGGCCTAAAGCATTCATAAAGCGTCGCCTAGAGCTTAAGATGAAGTTTAATCAAAAGTACGACTACAAGAGAGCCCTCTGTGAAGATCCTGAGCTTATGCAGGGCTAGTTCCGCCTTGTACAGAATACCAAAGCCAAGTATAGGATCCAGGACGACGACATGTACAATTTTGACGAGACGGGCTTTATAATAGGCATGCACAACTCGTCAGCAGTAGTCACAGCCTCTAATCGTCGATTAGAGCTAAAATCTTTATAGCAGGGCAATAAAGAGTGGGTTACTAGCGTGGTTTGTGTTAGCGCAGCTGGCTGGGCGATCCCACCCTTCATCATCTTTTAGGGCAAGCACCACCTCTCTGCCTGGTACAAGGAAGACAGCCTGCCTAGGGATTGGGTTCTTGCAGTCTCTGAGAATGGCTGGACAACAAACGAGCTTGGTATGAAGTGGCTAGAGCACTATAACAGGCATACAAAAGAGCGTACTGTTGGAGCCTATCGCCTACTCATTCTAGACGGTCATGAGAGCCACAACTCAGTCAACTTCTAGCAATACTGCACAGAAGCAAAGATTGTTACTCTATGTATGCCTCCGCACTCTTCCCATCTACTGCAGCCTCTTGATGTGGGGTGTTTTTCGCCTTTGAAGAGGGCATATGGGCGCTAAGCTAAGGAGCTGATGCGCAATGGGATCAACCATATGACCAAGATAGAGTTCTTGCTAGCCTTCTAGCAAGCCTATTTTCAGACAGTTACAAAGGATAATATCCTAGGAGGGTTTTGAGGCGCCGGATTGGTTCCACACGACCCAGAGGTGGTGACATTAAAGCTGGATGTTAAGCTGCGCACCCCTTCACCACCTGCTGCTGAAAATCTACACTAGCAGTCGCAAACTCTAAGCAACACCCTAGAAATAGGGCTGTAATTGACGCTGGTGAAGCAGAGGATTCAAATGCACCTAGATAGTTCACTAACAAGTATGCTAGGTGCTGTTGAAAACCTGGTTAAAGGTGTGACTACTATTGCGCATGAGTTGGTGTTAGTCAAGAAACAGGTCTCTGAGCTTGAAGCAGCGAATGAAGCCGCCACGCGAAGGAGATCACACAAAAGAAAGCGGCTACAGAAAGGAGAGACCCTAACGATTGAAGAAGGAGAGAAACTGGCAACTCTAAAGGAGTCTGGGGCGCGTGGTAGTGGGAAGAAGGCAAAGAAGGGAGAGAGCGCTGAAGTAGGCGAACCGTCGCAAAGGCGCTGTAGACGCTGCGGTGAGACTGGACACAACTCGCGCACCTACAAGCAAGATGAAGAGGTTAATTCTAAATAGATTAGCCTTTTCTAATTTCAATTTACTGTTGTTGTTGCGCTGTAATGGTTGCGCAACGGTGGTGAGGTTGATGGGGGCTTGGCATTTTCGGTCACTCGCTATTCTCGGCCACTCGCTATACTTTGACGTTATATAAAATGTAAAGTTAATATAAATAATTCTTTAGAAATTTTAATTAAGACACTAAAATTCTATATAACTAATAAGTGCTAAAACAAAAAGAAAAGAGAATTTAGTAATTTTAATAATTAATTATCTAGTTATTATATATTTATTGTTTAGGGCGTGTGTATACTAATTATAAAGTAAATAAGAGAAAGGGAAATAGAGAAAAGGGGGGAATGTGATGTACTTAAGTAGAACGTAGAATGCGGAATGTAGAATGCGGAATGCGGAATGCGGAAAATACTAGGACTAGGACTAGGACTGCGATTGTACATGCTATATAATACTCATTCCTTTTTTTTAGCTCTTACATTACAGATATACTCATCAAACCCCCCCCCCCCCCTCATCATATGATTTGACCTGACTCTACTTGACTTGACTTGACTTGAGTTGATGCTCGCTATTCCTATTCTCGTTTTGGAAATAGCTGCGTATGCTATGTAACAGCCTTGACAACGCGTTGTTATGCTTATATTCCGCTTACTTGTACTTCATATATCCCCCCCTCCCCTCCTCTCTCTAACTATGTATGTACATATCAATAGCTACGCCCTGGAAAAGAAAAGAAAAGGTATACTTCACACATCAAACATCAAACATCTCGCCAACTCAGCCCCACTGCAATACCTCCACCACCATCATCATCATCATCGCACGTGTCATCGGGTGGATCAGAGGTATATGCTTGATATCGCGATATGCAGGCTTGTCTTGCTGTTTTACGGGCGGGGGCAGTGTCGCGGGCTTGGTGCGTGCGCTGAGGCTGAGGCTGAGGCTGAGGCTGACGCGAGAGCTGGTGCAGGTAGTCTGATGTAAAGGGGTTGGAGGCTTTGGTGTTGGCGTACATATTGGTAGCGGTGGTGGTGGTGTCGGTTTTGGTAGCAGTATCAGTGCAATGTACAGCTCTACGCGTAGAAGAAGCCGTACGAGAAGGCGGAGACGGAGAGGCAGACCGATGAGAGCGACAATTACGAGCAGCAGCAGCAGATGGAGAAGGACAACGTCGAGTCTGATGATGAGTATCACGAGGAGATGGGGAAGACAGACACAGAGTCTGGCTTTCAGACCCCCAACCCCCCGGATACTGTGCCTGTGGTGACACTTGCGTTTTTCTCTTTGCCACTGTCGTTCTCTTGCTTGCGTGGTGCTGCGTGCTGGGATACCTGTTTTTCGTGCTTGAAGTGCCCGTTTTGAAGCATGTCATGGCGGAGAGATGCGTGGGACTGGCTTGAATGTGGGTGCTGGACAACGGACTTTCTGGTGTGTCGGTTTGCGGGGAATATTTGGCGTAGGGAGCGGTTGGCGGAAATCGTACGCTGGGTTTTGGTTTTGGTTTGGGCTTGCCTGCTTTGGTGGATGTGGAATCGGCTTGTGGGGTGCAGGGATATGCTGGTGTTGCTTCGGTGTCGCTGCTGCTGTTGCTGCTGTGAAGCGAGGTGAAGGTATCGGAGGGGACATGGAGATGGGCGTTTCGTGGAATGTTGTTGAGTGGTTTTTGTTCGTCTGGATCGCGGAAGAATGCTTCGGGGAGGATTACAGTATAGCTTGTCTTGGGAACCAGGGGGACTGGACTATATTCCGTGTTTTGCAACTTCCCCCGCTGATGATCATGTCGTGGGTAGATATGTTTCTCAGGACGATGATCCGATGCTCTATTGTGCGCTCGTTTGGGCCGGTTATGCAACGTTGGCTGAACTACTCGCTCTAAAGTTCGACCTCGGCCTGGCCAGTCACGGGTTCCACGACCTGATGCCTTGTATACAGCATCACACCCCGCGCTGGATGAGCTGGTTTCTGAATGCAGTCCATGCGGAGAGACTACAAAATCCCAGCCTTCACTCGGGGCGTTGTATATACTAGCCAAACCATTGTTCAGCAGTACCAGCTCGTAAGGATCAAAATCTCGTCTTGTACGCAGCCATTCCGCCTTGTCTTTGAACCACGCCCCGAAAATACCAAAGCATATGACGACGTCGTCGTAAGTCCACTCAAAGGCATGTGTACGCTCTGCCTTCCAAGTCTTGAGCTGAACTTCCGCTCTTTTGAAGTGCTCTGGCTGACGTGCAGACGCAGTCCCGCGCGAGGAGCGATGGATCTGTTCGAGAAGCAGCCTCGCGTATTCTGCGACTGCGCTGGATCCTTTTTCGAAGTGAATCTTGTCCCAGGCCCAAGAAAACGAGATTAGATTATCTTGCTCGTCGAATACAGGGACGCCATGTCCGGCGGCCCAAGCCAGTCTTTCAACATGCAGGAGGTGTTTGAGATGCAACAGCCACTTTGAAATTGTTCGCTGGACATGCGTGATGTTTTCTACACCCCACTGACCCATGCGGCGCTGCACATTGTCCGTGATGGAGGATAGGAAGTCCCGTAGAGCGAACAGCTCAAAAAGACGTAGTTCATGTAGTAGCGACACATCGAGTGGTAGCGAGAAGTAGAAGGTGTTGCCGGTGGGGAACTTTACAACGTGCGTGTTTGGCCGGGATAGAAAGGCGCGACAGTGCGCAGGATTTGGATGCACGAGAATGGGCATGTTATGGTGGGTTTGAGGATAGCTCGATAGAATAACTTTTGGGGCTAAGTGTAGTGGTGTAAAGTTGGCGTAGGGCGAGTGTGATGTAGAGTACTAGAGGACTGGGTTGTAGGACGCGTGTAGGGGAGCCGGATTCTTTGCAGCTTTTGTACAATTGATTTGGTGCGTATTTGAAGCATGGGTTTGATTACTACAGATTCAGTGTCTAGTGCAAGCGTGGTGCAGTCACGGGCTGACATTGAAGTAACAGGTTGACGGTCTGGGATTCACTCAATATGACGTGTTGTAATTATCGCAATATGCTAATCCTGTCGGTTGAATGCATAAACTAATTGATTGCATATTGGAGAGTAACGCAGTCAGTTATAAAATGCGTGTTGGTTATGTGGGTATGTCTCGTTTGATACGGTGAAGAGGAATGTGAAGAGGGCTAATGAAGCCAGCAACAAGCTAGCGGTAAAACAAGGACATCGATACTGGATCTGGAATTTTCAAACGCACCCGAGTACATGTCTGAGTCATCGTGCAAGTAGATTGCAGCGAAATGTTCTCCACGTAGCCAGAGACATGCGCTTCACTATTTCATCTTGAAACTATCACTACAGCGTTTTCTATAGATCAAAGAGCCCAAAATCCTATGTGGGTTTGGTCATGAAATGATATCTAGGGCCTCGATTCATGTAGCAGATGTAAATGATGAATGAGAACGATGCTGCCCTTCACGAATCGACAACCCATCTCATTCAGTGAATGGCAAACAGTGTTTGTTATGATACAGATTTATTCTTATCCAAAGTAAACTAATTACACCATATGAAAAAACAAACATGCAAACAGGGGTATTTCAATTCAATGTCCGTCTCTCACCCATTGTTCCCACATTCGTCTCACCACTGCCATTACGACTTGGCAGGCTCCCGTCCACTAAAAGTCCGAGTACCCGGCAAGTGAAGACAGAAGACAAACTCAAGAATGTCATCGATTCTAGCCAACGTCTCCTGAATACGAGCAGTCGTTGCAGGATCTCCCTCAACATCCCAGCGCTCCTGATCCAGCTTCTCGCCAAGATCATGCATGCAGATCGGACCCATGTCCTCCAGATAGCTGCGAGGGATTGGATGAACCGCATGGACAACCCGCTCGGTGCAACCTTCCATCTCCGGAAACTCCAGCTTCGCGTAGGGGTCAATCCGGATTGTGCTCTTGGTGTAGTAGGGCGAGGACTTTACAAGCTCTTCTGTGCTGTATCGGCCCCATGTCGTGACGATATCTTCAAAATCTCCATGTTCAAAATGAGGTGTCTGGGGCGTGTGAATCTGCTGTGTGCTGCCATTTGTAGAAGCGGAAGACGCATTGGATGTTGTATCGTGTAGGCGGCTATGGGGTGCAGGCTGGTCACATGGGAGGGTAGTTGAAGGCTCAGCCTGGGATTGGGGGCTCTCGAGATGTCTATATGGGACATCGGCGCTATTTGATTGGGGATTCATATTCTCTGCGCCGAGAATAGCAGTCTTCAAGTAACGATGATAGAGTGGTGGTTTAGTATTCTAGTTTCAGGTTTAGATTTGTCGAAATTCCCAAGGAAATGCAAGTTCATATGTCGCATTACAAAAACCCAGCAAAGATGCTGATTATATGGGAACCAGCAGATAACTTAGTTTGCTCAGTCATTCACAAAGGGCAGAGCCGTTGGGCCAATTGAAGTAATCGATATCACGATCCATAGCTTCAATGGGGCGCATACAGCGAAGAAAATTATGCCGTTTGGATGTATGCGTTAGACAGGTTTGAAATGAAGCAATGGAGAGGTGGGATTTTCTTCCTCCACGTAGTAATAAGGTGATTGTAGAACACTGTATCATTCATGGTGGCTCTTACATCACGTCCTCCTATCCATGGTAGCGAATAAAAAAGTGCAGATTTCTGTTCTTGACAATAAACCATGTGGCGTAGACAGGCTATGAGGCAGTGCTCGCTTGTCGCGATAAGTACGTTGCCATGAAATTGCTACTAAAGAAAACGCGAATGTGGTTTATACGTGAAATTAATATATTGAAACACGAATGGGCGGTACTAAAGAAAGATGAATTGTCGTTACTGCTACTCTGTACCACGCTGCTACACGAATTCGACATACCCCCATTCACCACCCTCCGCGGCTTCTCCGTCCATGATTTCATCGACGTAAGCCTCACTGATAATCATGTACTTTCCACGTTCACACTGTCGAAGCACGAAAGGCATCTGTGTCCCACCAAACAAAGCTATGACGTCGCCCTCCTTGATTTCCATAGAACTAATACCTAAATGACCTTTTTGTGTGATAAAAGGTGACCTTCCGGAGCTAATTTCTGTAAGATCTATATCAAACTGATACGGATCCTCAAGAGCCGTTGCCATTTCTTGCTTCATTTCCTCACATTCTAGGAATGCTTCAAGATCAAGATTGCCAATATTTCCCGACCTTCTCCATTTGATACACTGACAGAGAACGAGAGTGTCGGAAAAGGGACCGAGTCTATGAGGAACTGAGTCTTCTCCCACTCCGATATCAGCGTATGACGCTCGGATCACGGCTCGCATACGCTCTCTGAAGCTTGTGTATTTTCTGTCGGATATGTATGTAAGACTCAACACTTCAAACACCCACTCATCAGGGAGCGCACACTGAATGCTGCCAGGCACCCTGCGAATGCGGCCTGGTTGAAGGATTATATCGTAGATTTTAGTCATCATCAGTATTGACCTGACCCTGAGTCGTTTGTTTGCCGCGAAGATACAAGATGCACTTTCTGATCCAGAAGCGTTGAATCGCGGACAGGGGGTGATGCGATCAAGTTCAAAACCCTGTATTGGCCTTGGTGCAGGTATAGACCAGTCGATTACCCAAGAAGGTAAAGTACCTGGATTTCCAGAGCCATGACAGAGTGACAGCAAGAAGGTATAGCCGCATCTGAGTAAAGCAGCCATTGTATCCGTGTAGACATCCTCTGTAGACTTTGAGTGATTAGGAACAATTCCCAAGCCCCTAAAACTATTCTTGTCATGTGCTAAGCCTAGAATGGCAAATATCATGTCCCGTGGATCGGTTGACTGCAAGTGTTGGTGGTGATTGTCATTCTTGAGACTTCGAAAGATTGAACTGCTAGCTGCCTGAAGCAGACCTGCTAGTGATAATGTTCTGTTCTGATACCAATCCGACATGGATAGCATGGTGTGGGCTCCGTGATAAACTTGGCATAAGAGCTCAACTTGGCGAGGTGGCCGACGGTCTATGGGATTGTTCCGTGTAAAAACCGCGATTAGGGTAAAGTATGCAATGTGAGCAGCGAAAAATCTCTGGCGCGGGATTCGCTTCGTGCCACAAACGAACTGCGCGTGTTTCGGCAGGGAGATTTCTTGCAAAACCCAAACTCGACTCCACCACGCCCGTTGGTGAAGACGACATAGATCTTCTGTTGGGAGCAAGTACTCTCGAGGTTGGTAGCCGCTAATCGAATGTAGGAGAGTCTGCAGAGCGTATGTAGATACCGGAAGCTGCGTCCCGTCAAAAACAAATTCATTTGGGTCGCCGGTCAATGGCGGTGCCTCCATCATGGCCCTCCATACACGCGCGCATGACCCGGAACGATTGCGAAGGTCACATGCTTCTGCCATTGCTCCTACAACATTTAGATGTTCAATCACGCTGTCGCTGTTGTCGGCTGACGGTCCTAGCCAAGCAAAGACTTTGGATGCCTTTCGATAAATGTCGCCCATCATTGCAACTTGCCATCCTTTTTCTTCATCATCTTTCTGGTTGATGCATATTGCATCGATCCATATGACGATTGTTTTTGACCGTACAATCCCCATCAATGCGCCAAACAAGTTTTGATTGACCTTGAACGTACACCCGTTCACTTTTATGATTCTCTGATCGGTCTGGTCGCCCCAAACATACGAAAGTGCGCGGAACCGTGGATCATGATCAAGGCTGGAATGAAAGAGGCGGCATGCGGGTTCGTATTGGTCGGACCACTGGGACAGGGGAGGTAGTTCTAGCAGCCTTATCTCGCGACATGAGCTTTTCAGTGATTAATACTGAAAAGGGGTTGCCATGACTACCGTTTGAACACTATTAGTCAGGAGAAAATGGCTTGGATTTGATTTTACTTGGATAGAGAGGAACAAGATCAGACCTTGAATTGTGTACTGATCTATAGCTGAGAGTGAAGCGACAAGGCTGAGGCTGAGATTAGGCAGCAAAACTGTGCCGCATACCAACAGCTGCGGGGTGACCGCATGCCGATCCCAGTAGCTACAGAGGCTGCAGACATAACAGCAATTTCAAAAAAGCGATTTCGCTGCCCATATCTACCATGGATACTCACCGGTGTTGTGGATAAACTTGCCCACCTCTTCATCCCGCTTCCCGTCCACAAGCTCCATGATGCTATTTACTGTCTTCTCCGCACTTCTCGCGCCAAACTCCGGTTTATTGTGTGGCCCTAGATTGGACACCGTAAAGCCTGGGTCGTAGCAAAACACCGTCATGTTCCTCTTTTCTTCGTCCTCAGTCCCCTCTTCTCCCTGACTTGGCTCCGTTCCCGTCATATCAATCTGCTTAACACCGAGTCCAAATTCAACATGTAGGCATGCAGTCAGCATGTTAAAAGCGACTTTACTCGCACGATACGGAGCGCCTTGGATTTTGTACATCGGGCTTTCTGAGAAGAGTCTGCGACCTATACTTCCAGCGCCGGAAGAGATGTTGATGATCCTCGGGTTCTCGCTCTTTTTCAGCAAAGGCATGACAGATTTGGTAAGGAGCCACGGACCCGTGGCATTGATGTCGAATGCAGCAGCAAGGCGTTCGCGCTCGGTTGCCCCTTCTGGAATTGCAACGGCAGCATTGTTGAACAAAATGTCGAGTTTGCCGTGTTTTTCTTTGATCAGCGTAGCGGTCTGGCTGATATGCTCATCACTTCGCACGTCAAGGTGCATTAGCTCGATGCTACCGGGGAGATTGCGTGATTGTAGGTCCTGTAGTGCTGCGGCGCCTTTGTTGGAGTTTCGGGAGCCGAGAAGGACATGATAGTTGCCTCTCTGGAGAAGTTGATGTGCAATTTCAAAGCCGATGCCGCTGTTCGCGCCAGTGATTAGGGCAATCTCTTTAGCAATTGAAGCCATAATGCAGATATAGTAGGGTTTCAGGATGATGATGTAGATGGAGGAAAGGTGCAAGTATTTTAGTCGCTAAGTAATAATGATTGTGAACACGTTCTGTCAGCTACGCTTTATATCCATGGTACCGTGATTCGTCTTACATTCGTCATGCGGAGGTACGTCTTTTAAAGTCCGCAACGTTCAACTTTAGCGCGTCGCTGACAACCGCAAAACTGCACATAGTAGTAAAAGTGACTGTCAAGACACCCATCAGTTTGTTGGAGTTAAATTTCATACAGCCTTCCCCGGATTTGAAAGATCTCATCTCCATCCAATTACGCTTGCGAGGACAGTAACGAGGAACATTTTTGCATTCGTACATCTACGCTAACTCTATGCAGACTAGCAGATTTGCACAATGGTGTTATGCGAGCCCGGCGAAGCATCCAGCAACCCAAATATCCTTGGAAAGCAAATAAAGTCCCTCAAATCATAGAAAAACGATTCTAAATCGCCCTAACGCCGTTTTGTTCCCTGATAATTTACATGACGAGACCCGTCGGACTGCGAAGTTGAGTGGGTAGCGAGTCGGCTCTCAGCTCCTTGGCCACAATATCAGGCACCTTTGTTCGGGTGTGCTGCGTCACCTCTCTTCCTCGCCCGGACATTTGTAGAAGTGGCATGTCTCTTCTTATGGCAGCAAATCCACCTTTTACGCTGCTCGCAACAATGCCCTTGGCGCGAAGGACGCTCGTAGCGACCCTCGCCGTATCACCCTCGTAGCATACAACGTATACTTCTTTACCAGGAAGATCATATGCATTGATCCGATCTCGGGTAAATGTAGCCTCCAGTTCCTTCCATTGGTTCTCAAGTACGGTGGCATCGAAGAATGGGCTAGGCGTGGATGCATTGGAGCTTTGCAGTGGCAGATTGCACGAGCCTGGTATATGGCTTTCGCTGAAGTCTTCTGTCTTCCTCAGATCAAGCATGACTGCTCTGAAGCCGTCCTTTTGAGCCGTATTGGCGAGTTGCGATAGTGCTTGTGTCGGGTTGAGTTCCCATGCTTCGTCGTAGCGGTAGAGGTCGACGGTCCGGAGGTTCTGCATCGATGTTAGAAATCGACGGAAGGAGATGAGGAGGAATAAAATACCTCGTTATGTATTTGTGGGAACGCTTCGCTACCAAGCTTGTCGAAATATTCATCAATGTACTGGTAGGGTAGATCGCAGCAGATGAAAGCACAATCGATGAGCCCGTCAGGACCGGCTAGCTCACTCAGGGTACCGGCAGTCTTTCTCTTCTCCAGATAGCTGAAAAGCCCTTTTCACTGTCAGTCGCCGCTTACATTGGGTAGCATCTACATACCCTTGAGATTAAAGCCAGATGATGGCCCACACACCAGTCCCTCACGGCAAAGCTGCAAAGATAGGCCAAATGCGTCTTTTGAGCCCACCTCCTCGATAGCGTCTACAGAGTCGCGCCATGGAAATTCGACTGGGCTGAGCAGTGCGTAGGATCGGGGGCCAGGGACGCGGTCTCCTGCAGCAGTGCAGACACTGCGGTGTGTTAGCCGATGCGCTGGTGTTCTGGGACAGATTCCACGTACCCTAATCGGACAACAGAAGGCTTTGCTGTTTTGAAATATTGACCCAGGCCTGTCATTGTGCCCGATGTACCCATACCAGCACACAGTATCCGAATGTTGGGGAGTTGTTCGTGAATCTGGGGACCGGTCCATCTGATATGTGATTGCCAATTCTTTCAAAGTCAGCATGACGCACGAAGAGTATAATTTTGCAAGTAGCGTACTCCGTCGTTCTCGTACTGATTGAGATTCAGGACTGATTCGTCTTGTTCAGCCCATTTTCTGGCCTGTTGTATACCGCCTCGCTCATCGTGTGGCTCTGGTTGCGAGGGACCTCCAAAAAGCGTTCTGTACCCAAACTTAGTAGGATGTAAATCTCACATGGCGGCGGTCTCACATGTCTAGCCCGAAAAACTGCATGAGCCTTAGTTTGGGGACGGTGGTCTTGTTGCTCAGGAACGCGCGGGTATCTTGTATGCCGTGATTGATGCGAGAAACCATTGCTAGTGAGATCACTGTAGACCCAGAGCTGTATTCAACCACGGTTTTCGACTTTTCTGGCTGTACACCCTTCGATAACATGTTCAATGCTGGTTCGCAAGGTGAGTATGGGGAAAACGACGCTATTGGATTCTCGACCTACCTGGCATGACCTTGACGTTATTCGAAGGATGCATTGACATCATCTTTGCATGTATGCGTACACCATCGTTGTAGAACGGGTTCAAACTGGGAAGTATCTCTACAAGCGGCAGCATAGGTTGATAGTCAGGATCGAAATAGTTCCGGAGAGCATCAGGGCCCGAGTAAGCGTTGAGATGGTTTCTTTGAGACATTTTGGCGTTGACAACGGCTGTGAAAGACAAATCATGTGCAACTCGACACCTGGAGGGTCAGCTCTTTAACTGATGGGCGAATGATGGGGTCTTGTCGGCCTATCTATTTGGCCCAGCCGGTATATCGAGAGCACAATTGAAATGTGGCGCCCTGAATGAAACCACACTAAGACTATGTCAAGTACGGACCAAATTGCCCATTTCATATCATTTCGTGTCTGTCTCGTGCAGCCTTGTGAAGATAGTCAGTAGGGTACTGACCGGAACCCAACCATTTTCCGACAAGGATAAACGGCCGAATCAGCATTATTGGGTGGATGTAATTCGGTGGCAATGATGATGAGTTGGTTTGAGAAGTGTTGAGCACATTCTTGACGGGGAAAGGGCACGGGACGAGAGGACGCTAGTATGTTTAGGGAATAGATCAATGTCGTGTGTGACTAGAAGGCCCGGGAATACCACCAATACAGGCTGTTTTCCCTCTCACTCGACATCTTTACTCGCATTGACGCTTGTTATTTCAAGCAAATCTGTTTCATCTATTCGACCTCGCCTGGCAAGTCAGTTTATTACGCTCACCCACAGCATGCGCCCAGGAGCGGAAGGTGCCAAGCTGTCAAGCGGGCGACCTGTCAGATCCCCCAACCCACGAATATGTCGCGAACTGGTCGAGATGCAACGCCCATGCATATAAAACCTTAGCGTAGGGGCCAGGGCTGCGCGTCATATGTACCTGCGAGTAAGGCCGGGCTATCCACCGGCGTATCTCACTGGTTGTTCTCAGGACATGCATACACAAGCTTCCTAGCCTGGCGCGCACCCCTGTCACAACGTTGAGCAGATTTGATACCTTTTATTCGTAACGCCCTGGCAACACCATGGACTCTAGCACACGTTCTGGATAGGCGTGGAAATAAGAAAATAGCTCCGAAAATTAATGAATGAGCAGGTCGAACGAAGTCGAGACCCCGTGATAAGCAAACATTGCCGGACTAATCCGTGTCTGCAAGTACCACGAACTGCGCTTTGCGAGCCAGGGCTATCCGTCCGCTGCAGCTCGCACCCAAGTCAATATTCTTCACGATTGAGGACACCACACTGAATTCTTTCCTTCAAGTGGCTGTTTCTTTTCCGTTTTTTTCCTCTACGCCCACACAGCGGACTGCTCCGTTGCTTTTGCGCGCATCATGGCCACCAGTACCACCCCCGAAGTTCCAACACCTCCACCAGCCGAGGCTTCTTTGGAAGAAAAGATGCCTGCTCAATCGGAAAAAAGTGTACCGGCATTCAACGAGCAAACAAGTACGTCGCAAGTACGCTGCCTATAGGCTTTACGCTAACTCAGTGCTTTCATCAGATTATGTACCTGTCAAAACTATTATTACTGTAAGGAAAAGTCGCACTCATACTCGCTCAACGCTCATTTACAATACAGATATTCCTTGCATGCGCAAGTGTTGATCTACTAGCTTTGATGGATCAGACTACTCTTGGAGCCAGTTTGACCATTGTTAGTAAGGAGCTTAATGCCGACAGGGACAGTGCCTGGATAGCTGGCGCGTACTTTCTCACGTCAACGTCATTCCAGCTTCTATATGGGCGCCTTTCCGACATATGGTCTCGAAAAGTGCTCCTGGTGATTGGAATTGCGATTTTCTTTTTTGGGTCACTTGCAGCTTCCTTGGCACAGTCCTCAGTCCAGCTCATCGTTTTCCGTGCATTTACGGGGGTGGGAGGAGGCGGTCTGATGACAGTAGCTCAAATGATTGTCAGCGACATTGTGCCACTCCGTGAGAGAGGCAAGTATCAAGGTATATTGGTACGTCGCATAAGAAAGCCGTGCAAGGAAGTCACTCACGTCATCTTAGGGGTCTGTTGTGGCCCTAGCAAATGGCATCGGCCCTGTGATAGGCGGCGCACTCGCCTCCCGGGGCCATGGCTCATGGTAAAACCGTCCGTAAGGTAACTTTGTATATTTGCTGATCAGCCTAAAGGAGATGGATTTTCCGGCTAAACATGTTCGTATGCATTCTGACTACTGGCTGCGTCGCCTTCTTTATGCCATTGAGAAAGGTCATTGGCGACTGGAGAAAGTAAGTAAACAGACATGCAATCCTAGTCACCGCTAATAGAACAAGAAAAGTAGCAGCAATCGATTTCATCGGAGCCTTTCTAGCTCTTGCTGGCTCTACATTACTAGTGGTATGTTCTCCCCTCGAACCAATATGCTTATACTGATCATCTCAGCTTGCATTGACATGGGCTGGCGGTGAATATGCGTGGGTGTCTAGTCATGTCCTCACTACCCTTATTGTCGGCATAGCTGTCTCGGTAATATTTGTTTGTTGGCAATGGAAGGGCACTAGTGTGCCGCTGATCCCGCGTGCGTTAATCCCCTGGAAGAAGGCAAGCTTCTGCTGATCAGCCTAGTGGAGATATTCACATCAAAGGTGGTGAACGGCGCCATGCTCACCATGTTTGTGAATGGCTGGAACTTTCTCGTTCAGGTCTTTTACATACCGTCCTTCTACCAGCTTGTCTATGGGTACTCGGCTGTCAAGTCTGGAGCGCTTTTGTTACCCATTACAATTACACAAAGTAGGTTTCGTTAGTCATTCAAGGATAGGGATGAAAGTTCTAACGAAGACTAGCATTATTCAGTACGCTATCTGGCCTTGTAGTACACTGGTCTGGACGATATCGTGAGTGTCTTCTACTAGGTTGGGCAGTATGGGCAGTTGGCCTGGGTTTGTATTCAACACTGAGCGGCCCCTCTCTCGGAAAACAGATAGGATATGGCCTTCTCGCTGGATTCGGTCTAGGAAATACCCTTCAGCCATCTCTCATCGCAATACAAGCTGGAGTCGAACGGAAGCACATGGCCGTCGTCACGTCGACGCGTAACTTTGTGCGCAACCTCGGCGGCACCCTGGGGTTGGCCATCTCAGGAACAATCATCAACAACGCAGTCAGTTCCTCTTTGTCACATCATGGTCTCTCACGGTCAGACATATACCTGCTTCTCAACTCGCCTGATCTCTTTCGAGAGTCCTTTGGAAATAATCGTACGGAGCTCATGCGCACTGAGCTCACGTCTGCGTATCACAAAAGCTTTCGAATCATTTTTATCGTGGGTGCGGCTCTCAACGCAGCCGCTTTCGTCGCTGCCTGGTTCTTGATGCCGCAGGTCGAGCTCAACAGGAAAGACGATGCCCAACTCAAAGAAGAAGGCAAAAAGAGGGATGAGGAGAACCGCAAGAAGAATTCTACGGCATAGACGAATTGCGCTGTATAGTGTACATCTAGAATATCGAGGGTCCATCTACTTGTGCGACCATCCCACGCTAATGTCTGGTTTCCAGTGCTCCTAGAACTACCGGTGACATGGTAGTTCCGGCTAAATATTAACTCCAATATGTGAACTGCTGGCAACATAGCCTGGAAAATGCTCCCCACATGTGTTATTACTCTCCACCTCGAACCCCACAATCGATCTATTTGCTTGTGCTACAACCAAGCCTGGATACTAAGAAACTCTAAAGCTTCGTGGAGCTTATATCTGGCACCAATCCCTAAAGCAAAACTAGAAATTTGCAGTTTCGCACATCCCCAGAATATTACAGCCTGCTGTCTACTGCCCACAACATTGTTGACATAAAAATGCTTACTACCGCACTTCTAGTCCTTTCTCTCGCCGTAGCCGGCCTGGCTCAAGCACCAGCAGGCTACCGCACCGTCTACATCACCTCAGCGCAAGACACCAAGTTCGCCGTGGTGCCGAAATCGCGCACAGCCAGCGCCACGCTCGTCGTGTACGTCTTCTCTCCACTACTTCACCCTGAAAGATACAACAATGACAACAAAAACTTCCTCTTCAGAAGCCCAACATGCTTACCCGCCCAGCCAATCCCGCACCTCCTCCCCAGAACAAACATGGTACATGGCCGCGCCCTCCAACCACACCGCGATCCAGCTCTCCTCGACGACGCTGTGCATGGACGCGGGCCCCAAGGCCTCGTGGAAAGACATGGCGCCGATTGCACTCCGTGAGTGCGTCGCAGGCGCCGAATCGCAGACATAGGACGCCATGGCCGACGGATGCATTGCGCTAGCTGCTAGCATGGGCACCAAGCAGTGTGTCGACCTGCAGTACCTGCGGGCTGTGGAGAATAATCCTGTTGGACTGTATAATTGCGCGGGACTGGGGAACACGGGGGCGAAGGATAAGGGGATTAATTGGCCGTTAGTGGATGCTGTGTAGTGATTTATAGTAGTATGGGTTGGGGGTAGATGTTATTGCTTGAAGGGGATGGATTCACAGTTTGGTTGGTTAGCGGTTAGCCTGTGCAGTGAGGGTAGGGAAGTTGGAAGTTGGATTGAATGTGATATTGAAAGCTGGAGATATACGGAAACATGTATCTAGGACAAGCGAAGAAATGCAACAAACCAGACTCGAACGAACAATTGTGCTGAACGGTGAGAGAGAACTAGTACATGAAACATTAGTAAAGCAAAAAACAAACAATTTTAGTTACAGCAGCATGAAACGACTTTTGGTAAACAAACTGGAACAAACAAAACATGGCACAAATCATTAGACAGATCTAGGCCGAGCCCTCAATCTTTACAAGCGCAGTCTTGGAAGCAATCTTGACCGACAAATCAGCCAGTGGAGTGGCGCTCAGCAACTCGAAGACGGAGATGTCGCTCTGCAGCTCTCGCAGCGATCGGTTGCGGATCTCAACTGCCTTCAAGGAGTCAACTGTTGGGGGATGAATGTTAGTACATGTTTTCAGAGTAAGTATGAGAAGTGGATGTATGGGGAAACTTACCTCCAAAGTCAAACAATGGCCTTGATCCGTCGACTTCGTCAACGGCTACACCAATGGCAGCTGCGACTTGCGCTTTAAGGTCCGCCTCGACTGCGGCCGCCGCCTCTTCGAGCGAGGTTGCCTTTGCAAGCAGCTCTGCCAGACTCTGGGTGTCGCCGCCTGCAGCGCCATCTGCAGCGTTGTGCTCGGCCTTGGCGACTCGCAGCTCGAACTTCTTGTCGTGCATGTAGCCCAGGGTGCCAGGGCGTCTGACGAGCTCATCACCCAGACCGAGCACCAGCTGTGCGGGCGCGGGCTCCGAGTCCTGGGTACGCCTCATCAGAGCAGCAAGCACGATGCGGAGCTCTTCCAGGCTGGTGCGGAGACCCTTCCAGCCGTGGCTGTAGCGGTGCAGGTAGTTGTCGAGATCACCGAATTCGCCATCGGAAGTGAAGTGGGACGAATCAGCGACGAGACCGACGTCGATACTGGTAGCAGCAATGTTACGGTGGGTCAAGGCGTGCTGAGCGAGAGCGTCCTCGAAAGTGTTACCGGAAGCGTAGTTGGCCTGGGCTGTGTTTCCGATGACACCAGTGATGGAAGAGAGCAGGATGAAGAAAGGCTTGCTCTCGTCGTTGGGACGGTTCGACACCAGCTGTTCCAACAGGTTTCGCGAGCCACGCGTCTTGGGCGCGAAGGCGCGTTGCCATTGCCCATGCGTCATGTTGTCGAAGATGGCATCCTCGAGCACCATGGCCGCTTGAAGCACACCGCGGATCTTGCAACCTCCCTGTTGTAGCTTGCTAAAGACAGCTGCTACACTGCTTGCGTCGCTGACATCGCAGCTGTATGCATCGGCACGCGTTCCCAGGGCACGCAGTGACTCGAGGGCGGGCTGATGCTTGCTGCTTCCGCCCGAGCGCGAAAGGAAGACGAGATGGCCGGCGCCGTGCGTTGCCATCATGCGGGCGATATCCAGACCCAGTGCTCCCAGACCTCCAGCCAAGACGTAGGTGCCCTCTGAATCCAAAGCAAGCTTTGGTGGCGCAGGCGGCAGCGTCAGGATTGAGGCGTTTGCTTCGGTGAGCGATACGGCAATGGGCGTGACTGGGTCCTCGTGGACAGCAGCCAAGACCTGCGGGATATCAGAAACGCTGAAGGCCAGGCTTGGTACGGTAGCCTTGAGGTTTCCAGACTGGGCGAGCAAGTCGAAAGTGCGGCGGAACAGACGGGCCACAATATCGGACTTGGCAGAGTACAGCTGGCTGATGTTGACGCTGGCAACGACGGCATTGCTCTGGCGGGCAGGGAGCTTGACGCCTGTGCTGCTTTGTCCGAATCCAATGAAGTGACCAAAGTCGGCAAGGACGTGTGCTGATGGCAGCACAGCTGGGCTCGACTGACTGCTGAGGATAACGTTGACGCCCTGTCCGTCAGTGGCCTGGTTGATAGCAGTGACAAACGTCTGCAGAGCCGAATCGTAGATGCGGCCTGAAGGAACTCCGTAACGCTTGATGAGCAGCTCTTTCTCGGCCTTGGTAGATACCAGGGCGAATACATCGGCTCCGACGAACTGGGCTACCTGGATGGCTGCCTGGCCATGGGCGCTGCCGGCAGAGTGCACAAGTACCGACTGTCCCTTCTGGATCTTAGCCATCTCCAGCAGTGCATACTGGACGGCAATGGAGACACCAGCCAGAGTAGCCGCTTCTTCGGCGCTGATACCTGCTGGCACCTGGGCAACAAGACCCTCATCTTGACGGACATTGGTCTTCAGCGCGCCCTGAGCACAGAGAACTGCCACTCGCTGGCCCAAAGTAACAGACTTGACCTGTGCACCACAACGAACAACGGTACCAACGGCCTCGCGTCCCAAGGCTGTCGGGTGCTGATCTTCGGCGGGTGCTCCGAGGTTGACAGCTTCAACCTTGACCTCGACCTCATGAGAGCCAAGCGTCTCCTTGGCAACCGAGTCTTCCACCCACAGGAGATCGTTGCCATTGACCGTCTCATTAGGCACCATCGGAATGTTGATTTTGCTGAGGATGCTCTTGACCGGCTTCATCTGGCGAGCACCTGCCTCAGCCTCACCGCGCTCGAGTTCAGTGTCGAAAGCATCATCACCGATGGCTCGCGGGACGTGAACAATGCCATTTTCATTGACAGCATACTCCATCTCGGCCTCTGGGACCAAAGAGCGCTTCCACACATCGAGGAGAAGTCGGTGGGTGTTGACAAGTTTGAGCGCCGGCGACACGTCAAGGTGTGGCAATGTGACGAGCGGGTACTCGTTGCGAAGCACACGGAGCAAGCCCTGAGCCGGGGCGAACGAAGCGCCAGTGCCATCGGCAGTCCAGGCTCCAAGGACATCACCACGGGTCAGCCAGAAGACATGAGCAGCAACAGAGATGAGCGTCTTGAAGGAGTCAAACTCTGAAGCTGTCCATGAGTAGATGACTGGCGTGACAGATTCAAGCAGGGAAATGACATGCTTGCCTGCCAACTCAGCTGCAGCCGAAAGCTGAACCTCGTGGGTAGTGATACCGAGGCTGGCCAAAGATGCGGCCAAGGTAGATGCAAAGGTGACAATCTCGTCGCTCGGCTTCGATGGTGTCAGTAGGTAGACATCTTGAGGCATTGCGGCCGCTGGCGAAGAAGCCATGGGAGCGATGGCAAGGCCAGGCGCTGTAATGTGGCTTTCAAAGCCTGCATCCTCCAAAGCTGACACAATGTCTGCGTGCTCCTTCTGGTGGATGATGAGATGGCCTTGCGAGGATAGGGCTTTGCTCAGCTTCTCAAACAGCCCCGAAGATGCAGACTGGATATCAAGAGCAACAACTGCATCAAATGTCGAAAAAGCGGAGGGGATTTCCTCATCGCGGATAGCATCCCACTGGTGAGCAGTAGCATCAGCAAGATGGCGCACACTATCCAGCAAAGCAGCAGAAGGAGCAGCGATGGACACCTTCTCGACTCCAGGCTGCTTACCGATGCGTGCATAGAGGTCGTTCAAGGCGCGAGTGGCGTTGGGTGAAAGCTCGCGATCGAAGAACACGAGCACATCGCCTACTGCCTTCTTGTGGGTCAGGCAGTCCATCCATGTAGCAAGCAGGCTGGTGCTGTCATTGCTTGCGCCTGCAAGCTTCTGAAGGCCAGACTCGCTCTGGATAAAGTCAATGTCCTCCTTCCACTTGACCTGAGCGCAGTTCTTGATCTGCTGCTGTGCAACACTGGCTTGAGACGACGTGACCTGGCGCAAGGCAAAGTTCTTGACTGTCAACTTGGGACCGGAAAAGGCCTCATCTGACACAATAAGGTCACCAACCAGTTCGTGGCCGTTGTCGCCAGTGCGAACGAGCTTTCCGTAGCCCTTGAAGATAGAGCCAGCGCCATGGGGCTGATCGGCAGCAACAAACATCTCATCAATGCTATACGGCACCGCAGCCTCAGTGATGGGGCGGCCTTCGTTAAGAGCGGCCAGCAACATGTGGAAGATGGAGTCCATAGTGGCTGGGTGCATGGCATGTGGGAATTCGAAGCCAGCCGGCATGCTGGAGGCCGTGTCCGGCAGCACAACGTCTGCAGTGGCAGCACCAAGATGAGGCACTGCGCGAAGCTCGACTGTGTTGCGGAACAACGGACCATACTCCATGCCAATCTGCTCGAGGTTGTCATAGAATTCATCACAATCGACTGCTTCGCCCTGCTCTTGGAATTGCTTGAAGAGCGCAGTGTGGCGCACCCAGTCCTTTTCCTCGGCCGAATCATCTTCAATTTCGCTCACGCCCGACATCTCAAACTGGAGGGCAATAGTGCCATGGCAGTGCTTTGTCCAAGAAGTAGCACTGGTCGCTGAGTAGATGGTGAAGTGGAATTGGCCCGGAACGGATGCGTGCGGCAGGAGGCTGAGACGAGTCTCCACTGCGGCTTCATCCCCCGACGTCACAACCAGTCCACGTTCGAAGCTAACTTCGCGGAATCGGAAACCACGGACAGGGGTAGCATCACTGGCCATCTGTAGAGCGCCCTCAATGGCCATGACTAGCATACCGGCTCCCGGATACAAGATGGTACCAGTGATCTTGTGGTCCTCGATCCACGGGTTTTCCGCGATGCGCAGGTGGTTGCGCCAGCGCGGCTCCGCCTTGTTTTGCATGTCTTCAGCTATGCCCAACAAATCCGTGCGGGGCGCAGGGGGGAAGCGGTTTGAGCGCATCATGTACGATTCATGCCAGTAGCTGTTTGCATGGTTCCATGGGTATGGCGGTAGGTGGGTCAATGGCTTTGAGCTGTTGGCGGAGACACCGTTGACAGCCTCGAGGTCCACCGAGTGGCCCGCGGCCCAGAGTTGACCTGCAGCACTCAGAGATGTCTCCACAGCATCCTTGTTCCTCAAGATGGCCGCCAGGTACGGTGCCTCCTTGGCAGACTTATTCGTGTTGACTGCAATGATCTGCTGGACGGGGCCCTGGAGCGCAGAGTGGGGACCGACCTCAACAAAGCCATTCCACCGTACCGCAGCCTTCTTGGCTGGATCGTCGCGGTGAGCAAGGAGAGCCGAGACTGCCGCTGAAAATTGCACAGACGATTCCATATTGGCCACCCAGTATTGTGCGTCGAGCTCGGCGGGCGATTCGACGAGCCGGCCCTTGAGGGACGAGAACATGAGCGTCTTGTTGCCGTCTCTCTTAGGAGGCGTCAGCGTTCCGATGCGCTCGAAGTAGCCTTGAGATACCTCACGCATGTGTGGCGAGTGGTACGCAGTCTTGACCTTCAGCTTTCGTGCAAACTTGCCGGCGCCAGAGATGAGGCCCTCGAGCTTGTTGATGGCATCGACGTCGCCCGAGAGTGTCACACTGGATGGGCTGTTGACACAGGCCACAACAGCTGATCCCGTGGCCACCTCCTTCAGATACTCAGCAGCTTCTTGTTCTGAGAGACCTGCTGCAAGCATAGCACCTTCTTTAGTGACGGCGGCAGAGCTGAGACCGCGAACGTAAGCAATCTTGATGGCGTCCGCGTGTGTGATCATGCCGGCAGCGTAAGCAGCAGCGATTTCACCACTGGAGTGTCCCACTGTTGCCTTTGGCTCAACGCCCCAGTGGCGCAGCAGGTCGATAACTGCCACCTGGAGCACTGTGCACAGAGTTTGGCTGTATTCCGGCAAGCTGATCTGCGATCCTTCCGTCTTCTCCAGCTCATCAAGAGCATTCCACTTGCAGCCAAGGTCCTTGAGGTAGCGGTCGGACAATTCCATGCTTTCTCTGAAGATAGAGTTGCCATAGAGCTGTCTTCCCATACCAGGCCACTGGGCACCTTGACCAGTGAAGACGAAGACAAGGTTGCTGTCCTGGCGCGAAGAGCGAGCCAACTTGGGCAATCCTTTTGTAAGCTGTTCTTGCAGTTCCGTCACTGTCGAGGCCACAGTGTAACTGCGGAAGTCCAGGGGCGTGCGCCGCGAAACCAGCGTATAGGACAGATTTTGGAGGAATGTTGCGTCTTCCTTTGCAAATGTCGACTCCTCTCCCAACCAGTCCGCATACTGTGCGCTGATGCGCTTGATTCCGGCCTGATCCTTGGTACTGAAGACGAAGAGCTTTTTGGCGTCCTTGTCATGTGGCGGCGTACCAGAGCCGACACTGACAGCCGAGTCGTCATCAGGAAGTACGACGGTGCTGTGGTTACCCACAAGCCCCCGCTGAGCCAAGTAGTGGTGGGCGTCGTCGAGAATCACGTGGGCGTTGGCACCGCCAAAACCGAAAGAGTTGACGCTGACACGGCGTTGGCCCTGGCCTGGGAACTCCATAATCTGTTGTGGGAGCGCGAGGTTCCACTCTTCCAGCTTGAGCCGGGGGTTGACACGCTCCACACCATAGGTGGGGACGAGCATGCCCTTTTCCAAGCAAAGCACTGCTTTGAAGACACCAGCCAGTCCAGAACAGCCCTCAGTATGTCCGACAGTGGGCTTGACACTGCCGATATAGAGTGGTCCGAGGCCTGCGGCTCTGCGGCTCTCTCCAAGAGTCGACGAGATGGCACTCAATTCAATTGGGTCACTGCAGAACGTTAGCAACCATGTCATTCATATACCTGTAGTGTTCACTCTTACCCGACAGGAGTTCCGGTTCCGTGGGCTTCAAAGTATTGCGTGGAATCCATGCTCAAGCCCGCAGCCTCGTACGTCCGCCTGATCAGATCAGCCTGAGCGGCTGAACTGGGCTGTGTGACACTTGGAGTCTTGCCATCGGCGTTGATACCAGTGGCGCGGATGACGGCGCGGATCGTGTCGCCATCGCGGAGCGCATCGGATAGCCGCTTGACGACGAGGCATCCGATGCCTTCACCTCGACCGTAGCCGTTTGCCCTATCGTCGAAGGTGTGAGAGATGCCCTCCGGACTCAGCATATGCATGGCTGAGAGCTGGTGCATGGTGTTGGGGTTGATGATCAGGTTGACACCCGCCACGAGTGACTGTGCTATGTCAGCTTAATGATGCAGTGACTTGAAGAAATAAAACTCACCATGTTGGTTTCGCCAAGCTTGAGCGACTGGCATGCAAGATGCAGGGCGTACAGACTCGACGAACACGCAGTGTCGAGAGTCAGACTGGGTCCCTGGAGGCCAAAGAACCAAGAAACACGGTTAGCGATCATGGCCTCGCTGGTGGCGGCGGCTGCTGTGTGCCCAACGTCGTAGATGTCATGAAGCGACATCATTTCGTAGTCGTTGGTCATGCATCCGACGTAGCAGCCCGTCTGAGAGTTTATCAAGCTCTCGACAGGAACACCAGCATTCTCAATACTCTCATATGCAACCTCAAGGAGCAACCGCTTCATGGGATCCATGGCTGCGGCCTCCTTGGAGGTAGTTGAGAAGAAGGGCGCGTCAAACTTGCTAACATCCTGCTTGAGGAAGTAGCCGTCCTTGACCGCAATCTGCAATTCACTGAGTCAGCCATGGGTTTATTGCTTGTGCCCAAATCTTGACTTACTCCGCCTTTCCTATCAGGATCTGGGTGATGGTAGACATCTGCGTCCCACCTGTCTTGTGGAATCTTTCCATGTCCAGTCTTGACTCGACTGATCATGTCCCAGAGCGACCCCAATGACGACACTTCTCCTGCCAGTCTGCATGCAGCACCGACGATGGCGATGGGTTCTTGCTTGTCCATGTTCGTCATTTTGGTTTGTTGTTGACTTTGTGACTTGTTCACTTGTTTGAAGTGGTAAAAGCGCTAATTGGCTGAGGATATCGAAGAAGGGGAGATTAATGTGAATGCGGTCAATATTTGTGTGAAGGTCCGTAGGAAGGCTGAAGTCAACAACAACTGATAGTTTGGTGATGCTGGGTTGGAGGTGTTCTGTACACATTATATGTAAATTCAGATTGATACTGGAAGATGCTTCTTTCGGCCATGGTCAACGATAGTAGGAGAGCCTCACAGTCTCCATCCGGACGCTAGGCTTGGGAGCTGCCAATCCAGACGGGGCCGGGATGCGCATCGATTGCGCATGTTCCAGGACCGATTGCGTGTGTTCCAAAGACGATTGCGCGGGTCCCAAAGCCAATTGCGGCTAGAGTACATGCGACACTAACAAAAGTGAGAGCTCCGCGATTGTCTTGGCTTCTCTGAGGTTCCTCCGCGACGGTCATCTTGGCGGCGGTGCTGACGGCGCGCTTGTATCCAAATCGGGCTCGTGGGGAGAGGCTGAATGCCGGCACTGGTAATCGTTCCACCCACTCGGCAACAACCAAAATGGGAACAACGCACCGTTTCAGATGCAGCCTTGGCGGCGGCATTCAATCAAAGGTCAAAGACGGTATTTCCATCGGCTCACTTGTTAAACCAAAAACCACCACTATCAGTTGTCTCCAGATATTCACGCACCAAGATGAGGGTCCTTTGTCTCCATGGAGTTGGCAGCTCTGCCACCATTCTTGAAACTCAACTACGACCCTTTCTCCAGGCCGTAGATTCGTCCTATGAGTTTATCTTTGCGGATGGCCCTATCCCATCTCCAAGGGGACCAGGTAATTACAGATTTCTCTTGGGCGCATAATGGACTGTGCTGACTGACTGATCAGGCGTGAGTGCTGATATCGATGGCCCATTCTTTTCGCATACCGCTGGCTACTCAGCCGAGGACATGGCGGATGCATTTAGCCACCTTGAAGACACCATCGACGAGCTGGGACCTTTCGATGGTGTCCTTGGGTTCAGCCAGGGAGGAGCTCTTCTTACTTCGTACATGCATCGGCAGCAGGAACTGCGGAATGCGGTACCATTCGGCTTCGCCTTGATTCTGTCTTCAGTACTTCCCTGCTCCGCGAATCCGACATACCTGCAAGGAGTCTTCGACAAGCTCAGCGACCGACGGCTACTCACCATGGGGCCCGCTGCCCTTGCCAAAACCCTCTCAGGTGAAGAGCGCATCTTCCTCAATCTCTTGATGCATACTATCATTCTGGCCAAGGAGAATCGCGCCATGCTTCCAGAAATCGATCTGAATGCCTATACCGACGCCCATGGTCGCGATGCGCCGAGGATCATGCATTCACAGCTGACGAAGGAGCGCATCCACATCCCAACTATCCACGTGACGGGTAAGCGCGACTATGACTTTATGCGCAACATGTCAGAGGCTGCTTTCAGCTTGTTTGACGAGAGAATGGTGAAGAAGCTGCAACACTCAGGCAGCCACCATCCGCCTATGAAGCCGGTTGAGGTTCAGTCGTTGATCAGAGCCATGGACTGGGCCGTCAAACAGTCGCAAAAGTTCCAGGGCGTGCATTTGTAATTCCATCGTTACCTTAGCTTGTCAAAACTCAGACTTTATCTTGTACGACCTACATAGACCCTTTCGGTAGCAATATAACCTGAAATCTCATTGTCATCCAAACCTGGTGTTCATCGCACTTGACGAATGCGAAGAGCAAATATTCTGCGTCAAATGGACCGAAAAAGTTGATACAACGTTCTGGTTGAATGACCTGATCAGAGCTACAAAATTGGTGCAGGATGAAAGGGGCGCACCTCACGGCCAATATTGATAAGTATGCATTGGTAGCCCGTGCGTGTGGATCCGAACATACTGATTCCGACCAAACATCGTGGGGGCAACATTCCAATGTCTCTTTCACGAACTTTATTATTGACCTAGCTTTGGAATTGATACATAAATCACTGGAGGCATAAAATTGCCGACATAGCTCTCTACAAACGAGTTTTCCATTTAGTGCATGTTCTCGACTTTTATATCTACTAATTGATTAAATAAAACTCCCCTACTTCATCTTCTTGAGTTTTGAACTATAATACAATTTTTAATGCTACTTGCTTTTTATAGTGGGCTTCAGTGTTACGTGCAGTCCATTGCTTCAGTGTTGATCTCAACCCTCTACAATATAAAAATAAACATGTCGTCTCAGGGCGCGAAAATCTCACCACACCTCTACCGAAAAGATTTTATTGTAACTTTCTAAAATCTTGTTTTCAACTCTTTTGTTAAAGATTTTGTGTTACGTAAAATACTCTGTCAGTGTTTTTGAATAGGTTCTCTTTCTAAAATCAAATCAGAAGTTACGGACTATTATTGAATAGAACAAGACCAACGAAAATTGTTAACGGAAAAACTAATAAGACATAAGTTTTACACGTAGTCTGAAATCATTCTAATACTTTTCCTCGCCACCATGTGTACTTCTCAAAAAACATGTTCCACTCTGCACCATTCCTCTCCATGAAATCGCACTCACATCCAGCGTATCCAGCAACCTAGTCATCACAGCTACAACACAGCAAACCACACTTCCTCACTTATTTCCCCTGTATTTTTCTTTTTTTTTCTTGAATTTATTTTTTCTCAAATAAAATCTGCGTGTCCCTTCCTAGCACCGCATTCAGATATTTACCAAGCTCTACACACACACCTTTTTTTTAGCAAGAAAATACGTTTTCTTGTATCCGAAAAAAACCCATTTACATGGCAAGTCTTCTCCTCAAATAACCCCTCTTCATGTTTCATACTATATACATCCCTATTGCCTCAATCTTCCTCATCGTATGATATGCGGGTTTTTCCCAGATAAACCGAGGTGCTGTGTGGATATCTGTGTCCTCTTTTTACAACACAACACATAATAAGCAATAAGCAATACGCAACACGCGATAAACTACAGTTCTGAAATTCCACACGTCTCCCTCTTGCAATGACCGTGCGGTACACCTCGAAAAGGCCAAACTAATTTCATCATTTCGATATTATAGATGTAATTACAGGTCCACCGCACTGCATTTTACAATGCCCATGCGCTTAATGAACAAGTGATCAATCAGTGCAATCCGCTCGCTAAAACCACACACACACACACACACACACACACACACACACACTTTCTGTCTGTTTCTCTCCCTGACTGCATAAAAAATCCTCAGCTCCCTCTTCTCTCGATTCGCATCTTATGAATAAGCTTGGATCAAGTCTCCAAAGTGATAAATTCAAAACCGCAGCACGAGAAAAAGAAAACTTGGGGGAGAAGGAGAAAGGGATGGAAGGGAATCAAGAGGAAATGAATGAGATGGACCAAAGGAAAAAAGGAGAAAGGCTCGAACAAACCGCGGCCAAACTGCCAAAAAAAAACCTTGGGTGAGTTTTCACATTATTTACTGGCTAAGTAAGTATCGTTTTAACGCTAAACCCTCCATCATCACAATTTGTAGTACACACACATACACACATTTTCCAACTACATACCCACAACGTTTTCAACCACCTCTAAAAACCCACGTTCCAGGTTCTTTTAGGCGATTTCCCTCTGTTCCGCCGTAGACCAAGCACTCTGCACGACCTGTTAATCCGTCGCAAGCCAAAGCATTTGCAGTGTTTTAGTGCTTAACCACCAGCCGCCATTTCCATAGCCAACTTCCCCCTATTCATAAAGCACGAGACGACGAGCCCGAGCGCACCAGCCGTAATCACCAAAACATACTCTGTATTAATGGTCTCGACAATCGCATCAATCAGCCTCTTGCGCACCTCGTCGGAAACGCGCGAGAAAACAGCAGATCGGCGCCCGGCCAGCGCACCGCTAATCTCGGCAGGTGTAAAGCCCAGGCCGGCCAGCGCGGCCGCTAGCTTGCGGGATCCGATGTTCTGGAAAACCGAGGACCCGATTGTCAGCGCAATGACGCTGGACCCGATCTGCGCCATGTTCATGAAGCCCACGGCGTCCGGGACGCGGTGCGCGGGCACTTGGGTCGGAGCAACCGAGTAGGCGGCCATCTGCGAGAGACCGGCGCCGAGTGCCAGAAGCACAGAGTAGCCGTAGATACGCGATGTGGGTGTGTTGACGTCGACGTCGGCGTAGAAGAGGGCGCCGGCGATGACGGCAAACAAGCTCGACGCGAAGAACCAGGGCATGTATCGCCTAGAAAGAGAGTATCTGGTTAGCGTGCTAGATCGGGTGTAAGAGAGGTAGAGTGGTTGCTTACCCGAATTTAGGCATCATGGCTCCTTGGAACATGTTTGCGGACACGCCGATGCAGATGAAGGGGAGTAAGCGGACGGCAGCTTGGACGCCGGTGTCGCCGTGCGCGAATTGGAAGAAGATGGGGATATCTGTTTGCTTGTCAGTCTTGTGTACAACTGGCTTTCGTCTGGAGTTACTCACAGTAGATGGGCATGAAGAGGACGGTCGAAGCGCAGGCCTGGCAGATATACAGCAGGATCAAAGTCTTGTTTCGCAGGAAATCAGCGGGAAACACGCGCATCTCCTTTGTCGTGAGGATGGTCAAGTACTGGCTCGCAATGAAGGCCAGGAGAATAACACCAAGCATGACAAAAAGGATAATGGTCCGGTAGTCGTCCCACGCCCACTGGGAGCCTGCAAAGGTGAACAGCATCACGAACACGGTCCACAGCGCCGCGTTGAGCACGATGCCAATCCAGTCCATGGTAACGAGCTTGTTTGAAAGAGGCACGTTGGGCTGGAAGCTAAATGGGCGCAGGACGAAGAAGAGCACGGGGCTGAAGAGTCCGAAAAGAACCAGATTGAGGTAGAAAGCCTGCATGCGATCAGTAACGCACTTGGACTGGAAGAAAGCAACAAACCCAGCGCCATGTTGCAGAGCTGTCGGCAAAAGATCCTCCAATGATAGGCCCTAAAATGCAACCTGCGCCCCAGACGACTCCACTGATGCCAACATACACGGGGCGCTCTTGCATAGTCGTGTCAACTGCAATGAGATTGAGGACACTTGGAAAGCACGTCAGTACGAATCTATTCACGGGATAATCCACTTACCCAAGATACATTCCCGCGCCTCCCGCGCCCGCCCACACACGCCCGATGATGAGAGACTTCATGTCTGGAGCGCCGCCGCACAGCGCACTGCCCGCCGTGAACATGGCCATGCTGCCAATGTACAGCCACTTGATATCAAAAGTGCTATACGCCTTGCCACTGTAACCACGACATCAGAATTGCCTTTTATCCTGTATTGTTTTTCCTGTGGTAGGAGGCTTCATCAAGGACACTTACAAGGAGAGAATCGTCGCCACACTGCCGAGCGGGAATCCGATTCCCAGCCAGCCCAGCAGCGCAACGTCGCCAAAGGCGTCGGTGACAGCGCCCTGGATGTCAGCTACAATCGTGACATCGAGGCCGTACAGAAACTGGCTGCAGTAGATGGACACGAGGACACTGATCCATTGCCAGCGTGAGTAGGTGCGTGCTACGCTCTGTTCCGGCGGCTCAACAGCAGCAGGCTCTTCTTCGGACTTGTCTGATTCCCACACGGACGCATGCGGCGGCGTGGCCGTTTCCTTTGACTTGTTCGAAATGCCATCGGAGTCGCGGCGACTTTCCTCGTCGTCTGGTACAGCAGCAGCAGCAGTACTATTATTATCAGGCTTCTTCTGCCCAACCATCTTGAACTGACTCATTCTGGGGTTAAAAAAAACAACAACAACAACTGGTCTGTCTCCTATTTCCTAGGTAGGTAATACTGATTTATCCAGGATGAACAGAAAGGAGCAGGAGCAAGTAAAACAAGTTCCAAGTTCTTCTTCGCAGAACAAAAAAAAAGTCAAACTCAAGAAGAATAGTACCAAAAAAAAATCTCCGCATTCCTAATCACACCCGCTTGGGCACAAACGCATATCTAGTTGCGGTCAAATGCCGCCTATCCCCCCCCCTCTCCTCACTCCATGTGTATTACCTGCGCTGAGCCAATCCCACCATGAGGCGCGAGAGCCAAGCAAGGCGTGGGAGCGGGGAGGTCAGCGAACGCACGGATTCGGGCGGGCGGCTGTTGCTAGTGTGAGTGTTAGTGCAAGGATGGCGGGCCGTTCTCAAATCGAAAAACGTCCGCGATCCCTGTCGGGGTTCTTTGCGCATGGGGCGCGGCAAAATGCCCCGAAGTCCGACCCTATTGATAGTATCGGTGGAGGGGCGCTAGGCCGATTGCGGTAGTGCCGCTATTCATGTAGGCCGTTTGCTTGGCGCCATGGCTGGGCTGGCAAATGCCCGCTGAGCGCTGAACACATAATCGGCGTGTGGAAGCCGGAGTTTTTGCCAGACACGACCACAGTTTCGCACATCTTGAACCCCTCCTTTCACTTCAACCATGATTGCTACACGTGCTCGCGTGGCGTTTGTGCTGCTCTCGGCGCTCGCCGCAGTGCTTCTCCAGGTCTTCTTCAACATCGATGGCGGAATGGCCGCCATGAAGGAACATGCTGCCAACGGGCTGTTCAGCAATGGGAAGGAGCTGCATCGTGTGTACTTGGGGCTGCCGTTCATCGACGGCCCGCTGTCGTGGTCAGTCAGCTTCTGGGATCCAGTCTTGCATCAGTCGGAGCCCGTTCTGCTCCTGTCCACCACGCTGAGTGCGTCGCTGCAGTCGCTCGGCGTCTTCACCATGGTGGAGAGTCTGAGAAAAGGAAAACGTAATGTGATGCTTCGGTGGTAAGTGGTTGTCATGTAAGAGTTGCAAGCATGATCCTGACTGACGCCTCCAGGTCGCCTGTCAACGTCTTTGCTTGGCAGTATATTGGGGCTGCAATCTTCATCCCCCTTTACTTCATGGTCGAACTCGAGAGCCACTATTTTCCGGACAAGGCTTCAGATCCAGAAGTACCTCCTCTCCACGCCAAAGCACTGCTCCCAGCGTCGATAGTCACCATCATACATTTGTACAGAATGGTGTACTTCCCGCCCCAAGGCACGACAACAGCTCAGCACCAGGCATGGATCGCCGTGTGGCAGCTCGCCCCGCTATGGTGCTACTGCGTGCTCACTGCCATCTCGACATATCTGTCGCCCAAAGACGAGACTGCGCCGTCCCATGAACGAGACGCGGATCTGCGGTGGATCAAGGCTACCTACGCTGTGTTTGGACTTTTTTCCGGTGTCATGCATGTGTCGGCCATGTATCAACTGTGCACGTCGCAAGATCCCTCAGCTTCGCTGGCGGAGGCTTTCATGCCTCGGCTCAGCAGTCTATGGCAGCCAGACACAGCGTCGTCAGTCTTTATAGCCGAGTCTACTTTCTTTCTACAATGGGACTACATTGTGATCGTGGTTGCAGGGGGCATCTACGTTGCCGAGATTCTCGGCAATGTGTATGGCCTGAATTATGGGTTTTTTGGTGGAGTAGTGTTGACGCTGGCTGCATGCGTGGCGAGTCACTTTTTGAGTCTTGGGCTTGTTTGGGCGGTGGTGTTGTTTTTGAGAGAAGACTCTCTTCGTGCGAGATTCAGGGCGAGCATCAAGAGCGAGGGCAGTGGAAAAAAGTGAAGACATGGCATCTTTGTGGATGGGTGGATTTTCGGTATGCTAGATGGGGGATATACGGCTGCCAGCACGCGATCTGGGTTGACTTGGTTATTCATTACGAGTTACTTGAACGGAAGTGATTACAGGTCATCGTAACGCAAACCGTGATCTCCAGCCCGAGTCGAATTGTGTAGATCAAACCAATAAGAACATTCATGAATTTGACTTGTTTCCCCATGTCCATTGCAGAGATTCTTCCATTACAAATGCGCATCCAAAGCAATAGTATTCATAGTTAGCTCAAATCCTCAAGCCGGCAATTCCCGCGTGATTTAGCGTCTTGTTCTGCTTAGCCACACTTGCTGTACCTACCTATTTGGAAAGATGAAATCACGTGCCATTATTACAGCAGATCTTCTTCTTCTGTAGATCTCCACTCGTATTCAGCTCGGAACATTACTATTTGACTTGGTACGTTCAAATCACGCCATTGCACCATTCCCAGCACAAGAGCATTAATCATACCAACTACTCACTCAGAATTCTCAAGTGATTAAATCAAGCAGATAACCCTGACACTAGTCCCCGCACCGCGCATGTTCTAGTAATGCAGTTAAAAGTAGAAACGCAAAGAAAGAAAGGAGAAAGAAAAGGAGTTGAAGGATTCAAGGAACTGAAGGAATCAGTCGATTCAAAGCCAAGAAGATTCAACGCTAACCTCGGATAAGACGCTTATCCCTCCGATTGTGGGGGCATCCCCTCATCCGAAGAAACTGAGCAGTACTAGCCCAAATACGGTTAGAGACTGTACAATCTTTTTGATGGTAGTGGGGGGGAGGGGGCAAAAGAAAAAAGACGCAAAAAGGGAAAAAGGCATGTCGGAATGGGCCGAAAGCTAGGGTGGGGAACAAGGGGAAAAGAGGGTAGCGTAGCGGCTGGCGGGAGCATTTCGGAGCCGGGAGCCGAATAAGCGGCCGACGGTTATTAAGCGAGCCGAGGGCTTGGACTACACAGGCACACGTGGGTGCGAGTACAAGACCTTTCCGATTCTGGGTATTGCCTCGTAGTGACTGTTGTAGGTGCTTTAGGGCTGGTTTACAAATGGTGTCATGTAAAAGACTAAGATGGTAATAACGTAGTTCTGCATAGTGCAGGGATTTTGATTATTCTCCAAACGTAGTAGTGTATCTTGCAAGTTGATTTTTTTTATACCGCAGACATGGTGAAGATGTGATGAGAAAGAGTGGAGGCTGGTTCGGGCTTACCGAAGATAGTCTACTATCCCCACAAGACAGGAAGGCTGACAAAACAAGGCGCATGTGAGAGGGAACGACTTGAACTTTTTCATTGTAGGAAGCTTTACTTTTAGTCTTGTACTCTGCCGATTGACGGGTCCACAGGCTAATTTGGTTACTGTTCGTTCACGCCGAGGCCTTGGCAGCGGCTGCAGCCTTTGCACCCTCCTCGTCGTGGGCCTTGCATTCAATCTCGACACGCATGCCGGGAAGACCGAGCTGGTTGACGCCAATGCATGTGAGAATAGGGCGGTGGTCAGGCAGCCACTTCTTGAAGTTGCGGACGCAGGCCACGACCGACTGTTCGCTGAGGTCGGTGAGATACAGGCGGATCTTGTAGACCTGGCTCCAGCCCTTGCCGCCAGCGTGCTTCAGGCAGTGCTCGACGTTGGCAAAGGCCTGGTCGATTTCCTCGTCGAGGTCCGTAGGGATCTTGCTGGTCTCAGGGTCCCATCCGCCTGAGGTATCGTCAATCAGTCCGGCTTGGCAAGGGGGGATGGGGGGGTGGAGAGGCGAGCGTACCTTGGCCGGCAATCTCGATGTAGTCGCCGACGCGGACAGCCTGGCTGTACCACAGCTCCTCGCGCTTGGCCTCGCCGAAGCCGGGGTAGCAGTAGTGCTGGAGGTGAGCCATGGTGGTGGAGTGGTGAGGTGGTGAGGTGGTGAGATGGCGAGATGAAAAGACGGGTAAATGGAGAGGTGGTGATGGGAGACGGTAGCGTGAGATGGTGGCGATGTTGTTGTGGTGTGGAGGCAACGAGGGAGGGCGAGGCAAGCGAGGGCGTTATATATTCAGGGCCGGTGCAGTCTTACAGGCACATGGCAAATATGCAGTGAGAGGGCAGTGGCAGGGCAGTAGCAGTTGGGGATTGCCTAAAAGAGAACGGTCCGGCTCGGAAGGGTTGTGGAGCAGCGTGGCGGCACAGCGTCACCTTCCGCCCAGGATTGGGGGCAGGAACGAGGGAGAAGAGAGAGGAAGGGGAGGCCTTGCAGTGCCTTCACCTTGCAGCTTGCACTTTCCGCTGGCCGAGAGCGCTTGGCGTTGGTGCTTGGCCTGATTGCCCGATTGCCCGCCTTCTGGGGCGTGGGTGGGGGCGCTGACCAATTTCTCGAGCGCTAGGCCCGAAGAGGGCATCCCTGGTGAAAGTCCGGGGTGGGCGGGCGCAGGCGAGAGAGGCGAGAGGCTGGCGAGCCCACGGCCGCGAAACAGGCACGCCACGCGACGCCAGCGCCAGCGGAAGGGGCGTTGTGGCGCTCCCACGACCACCACGCGGCTGCTGGCCATCTCCCGGGCCGGCCATTTGTTTCAGCAGCGCACGCGTCATGGCAGAGTTGTGTTAAGAGAAGCAGCATCCACTATGCCGCAGCGTCACTGAGTCGCTGCTCTCCTAACAGCTAGCTAGCAGTTTCACTAATGTTGAATAGTGGCGTGAGGAGCAGCGTGCCAGCCAGCAGCTCAACAAGTGGGCGGCGCTGGGATAGCGACGTCTGCCAGCAGCACTAGTGCTCGAGTCCAAGGGGGGGAAGGGGGGGGGGGCCCACTACCCTCATTACCGCCTATAACAACAAAGCCTCACAGCCAAGTGCCGGTCGAACCGCCTAGAAACTGCCCCCAGTGCGCCCATTTGGCACATTGCGTGACACCAATGGTTCGGGGCGTCCATTCGGCGTGCCACCACCGCTGCCACGAGTGGATGCATATCTATGTGCTACATGTGTACGTACATACATACAGCCTTGCATGCACATGCACCTACTACATATACATGCTCACCACCCCAGCCGGGGGCCAGGGGGGCCGGGGGGGCGGCGGATTTCGCCAGCTTATCCGTTCCGCCGACTGGGAGGTGCCTGGGCCGGCTGCTCGTGCGCCCATAAGATAGCGCATGGCGTATGTGGCCATATGCCAGTCGCCTCGTGCGTAGTAGGCTGTATAGCGGTAGTAGTATATGGACAGAGGTAGTACGTAGTATAAACGGACCGTGGTACAGGTGTACCCACCTATTCCCAGGCGTGCATGGACTTACCGCTTCTGGCTAGCTCGATCCACCCGGCCTCGCCAAGACCAGCACCGCAATCGCCCACCCACTCCCACGCACTCGCCTCGTCCCTCGCCCCCCGGCACCGCTCCGTGCACAACTCGATGCATAAACCCGTGCACAAGTCGATGCCCATGCCCGCCCGCCCGCCAAGCCCGCGCGGCGGATATCCACGCCCACGCCCACGTCGCCTCGCCATCGCTGTGCTGTGTACGTACGCCAGGTATTGCCATAGTAAACCCGGCCGTGCTAGCTACCAAGCAGTAAAAGGCCGCCATGCGGGTCGCCGACACACTCGTTCGTCCGGCCATACGTACCCCTCTCTCCTGGACGTTTAGAATCAGATTAACACGTCTGCCAGAGACACAGGAGATGGGACAAGGATGTCGTACGTAGCCAGCGCTCGACGCCGCTGAGCAGCAACACTGCCTTCCCCCCTCCTGAGCTGGCTGCCAAGAGCTGCCGTACTTGAGCGGGAAATATCAGGTCGCCATTGCACGCCCCGGCCGCACGCGCCACCGCCACCACCACCACCACCACAACAACACCAACAACATCAGCATCACGAAGCAATACGCACAACATGCACCATGAAACATGGCTCCATCAGCCTCATCACGTCAGGAACAGTGCAAATGGTAAATGGTAGCCAGGGAGCCCTGCCACGAAAGAATGCGAACTAGCTTTTGCTGCTTTGGTTCATCGTCGTCCTTGGCGCTGACGACTACAGTGCCCGTGCACCAGATGAGCACCATCGCCAGTTGAGCACCCCCACCACCACAACAACAAAACTTCAACGCGTCAAAACTCAACCAATATGGACCTGATTCAAGAAGCGATTGCAGAAATCGAATCGCGAGAACCAGGAGATAAATTCTCGTATCAAGCAATCGCGAAAAAGCATGGTGTAGCACGAATGACGTTGATGAGACGACACCGCGGCGAAACTGAGGCCTATGGCGTGCGCAACCTCTCCCTCCATCCACAACACGAGAAGGAGCTTGTACGATACATCGATACGCTTACCGAACGACGTTTGCCACCTACGAAGGAAATGATACAACGCTTTGCTTCAGATTTGGCTGGAAAGCCGGTTTCAGAAAGCTGGGTTGACCGGTTCATCCGCCGGCACCCCAACCATCTCATCTCTGCCCACAGCAAGGGGATGAGCAAACTTCGTTGCAACGCCGATTCAGAGCCAAGTACAGCTTGTATTTCAAGCTTCTGGTTGAAAGATAGAGGAGTACAACGTCCAACCCTCCCATATATCATATGACGAAAGGGTTTCACTTTGAGGATTGGCAGAACAAGCGTATCTTCTCCAAGG